AAAAAATACGCGCGGCTACCTCGAGTAATCCATCACATGAGTTACTACCCTAACATACGATTACGAACTGCCGCTTCTCTGTCCCGTTTGTGATCGGTAGAATTCCCGTCGTTTACGTGCCTCCAGATACACGTCTTATTTCGTAATGAACCGCGACTCGAACGAACATGTGTCGCCCGTCACTCCTACAATAGAAAAAGTCTTTGGACTTCGATGAACGTATAGATCCAGCCATAATCCTCGAACTTAGACGATTACTCCCTCGGGGTCTGATCGATCGATCGTTCTTTACATTTCGAATTTCAAAAGGATACCTCGCGGCAGAGACATGTAAATGATACGTTCTACGATAGACAAATCTTTTGAACTTCGATAGTTACAGCCTGAGCTTCGCTGGGTTTTTTTTCCTTTCTTTTTTTTTCATTATTCATTCACACGTTCCACCAGAGAGACTACAGTCTGCTTGTTGCACAAGCAGTTTCTGTGGAATGATTCACAATTTTTACGGACCTACAGTTGACACAACTTCGACGTATGCTACCGTTCGAAATTATCTGGATAATGACGTACTTGCGAAGGTACGAATCTTATGTTATCGTTAAACAATACAGGCGATGCTTGTTAATGGACGACGTTGATAGAATTGTAGAGAAAGTTGAACGAGGAGTCTCATCGACGTGTCGTTACGATTGAAGAACCCCAGATCAGAGTGAAGAGTTTAAAATCGCGGAATATGAATTAGCTATAAATGCTAGGCATCTAGTGTACACAGTATGAAAAAACTGAGTGGAGAAGTGCGGACGGAAACATCGAACAATGACTGTTCGATAGACACGATTTCATGAAGTACAGTAATACAGTAGAATAATAAGAAAAAAGTACAGTAGAATCTCGATTAGTCGAACTAGATTTTCCTCGATCTTTGTTATATAGATTTTTCATTGTTCCAAATGATAACGATGAAACCATAGCAGGACCTTGATTAAACCTCGACTTACACTATTCTATTAATAATTCATCGAAAATAAAGAGAAATATGAAAATACGTAATAAATACTATTATTAATATGCTAGTCACCGGAATGGTGTTTATGAACGGTAGCATACGAGAAATGTTCGCGTTCGAACGCGTCGTGCAACGCGTTGTGCAACGATCAGACTGAGAAGGATCCATCGATCATCCTCCTCTGCCGGTAGATCGGTCGATGTAAATCTCGTATACATTAGAGTACGCGTCGATTGGACTAGATTTATACGTTGTAAACGGAGCACCGTACGTTTCCATCTTGCTCCGATCGGTTTTCATTGAAAACACCTTCGCTGTACCGAGCGTCGCCTCGCGATGATCGTCACCGATTCCGAAAGGAATCATCGACCACCGCCGGGCATCGTGCGACATTTCCTGGCCTATCCGCCTTTGTGTACGCGAATGACTTTCCACGTGCATTAAGTATCGAAACCTGCTATGTTAAGTACTGTCGACGCCGTCCTAACGATGACAGGTGTCCGCGGACCCTTCGCGCATAACAACCGTCGAAAGAAAAGTTAATTGCCGGCGGACTCTTTCCGACGAGACCAAGCCGCAGCGAAATATCGTTTAACAGGACGACGCGTTCCCTGCGCGTTTCCCATAAATAATTACGAGCCCACTTAATGGATTAATTTAAAGCGAGTCGATACCGGCGCCGAGAAACATCGGAATTGCGACGTGCTTTTAAGCAAATTGCCTCCGATCTGGTTCTCCGCGAAACTCGAGAAACGTTCCCGCGCCGTTGTCGCACATTCAACCTAATTCCGAGACGACGTTAATCGTCGGCGAATTAGCTAATCGGTTCGGCTGGAACTCGATCCCGGAGAAAACCGGGGATGGCCCTTTCGAAAGAGGCAACGGCCCGGACGCCGAACGACTGTTAACGAACGTTAACGCCTGCGGAAACGATCGCGAAGGAAGTTAACGCCCAATTTAGTTTCACGAACGCGTCGAATTAAACGTGAATGCCACGGAATGACCGGCATACTAATCCGTGGTGCCGGCCTAACGTTAACCGCGCCTTCGCAAATCGCCCTCGAGCCAGCGCGGAAGCAAAATAACCGTATTTTCTGTCCGCCACCGGAAACGACGAGCCTCATCGAGAATTTCGATATATCGACGTCCGGAAAAGAAAGTCCGATGCCGCCCGGAACTTCCTCCCTGCGCGTCTGTCCCGTTGCCTCGTTATTCAGCCGACACGAGGCACGATTTTACGCGCGTCCGCAGACCGGTATCGACGCATCCGAGAATTCTAATTCGCGGCTCGACATTCGCCGACGCGTAGGAAACAAACAACTAGCATCACCATCGTCGATGCTACGCGATCTTGGACGGAATTTCTCGCTGCGGCGATTGGTGACTCGTTCGTTGCCAAATGACAACGCGATTTAACCCTTTCAGCGCGATCTCTTATGGCCCGAATAAAAACATTCGTTGAGCGTTCTAACCCTTTCGTTGGCGATGGCGACTATAGTCGTCGTTTAAGATCGAACAGCCCCTCTTGGAACTAAAGAGATAATTGTGGTTTGCCAAGTGACATGATTTCCAATTGCTTATAGCTCGTGAAATACGATAGAATTCTGTTCATCGTGTCTTCAAGTTGTTGAGTTGTTCAGGAAGTTCGTCCTGTGTCGACGAAAATAATTTTCTTTGTACTAGAAGTTGTGCTGATCAATGTTGCATTGAAACGAATTTGCTATTATGCGCCACCAGCAACGTCATAGATGAATGGGACGATTTCTCGATACAGCACAATTGTCGTACTGATTTCGCGGCAACTGATAGTCGTAACATCTTTGCAGTAACGAGAGGGTTAAAAGCGCCCGACCAATACTGCACGAATGCTAAAGAATTCTTCAATAACCTGCATCACAATCTAAGCACGAATAATCACGATTAGCAAACCGGCGATCATCGACTCTAACGAGGCGTTTATCTGCGAACGCGTTCGACCCGAGCGTCGACCCTATGCATCGTCGTCGTGTAAATGAAATGTCGGACCGATATTTTACCCGTGATTTGAACAACCATATAATTACTCAAACGTTGCATGTTCTCTCGTATCGCGTTAACTCTTGAGTATCCATAACTTTTGCAGAGCTGGCGTTGAAGCAAGAATGATCCCTCGCAATATCAACAGAGCAATTTGTAACGATTACACTGCGAAGCTTTATGCATATAAATTACCCAGAGCTATCTATACTCCACTTTTTAAACGGAACAGTTTTTGACTCTGCATTTACGACGAAAAATCTTTTCGTCGACAAGAGAAGCTCCCGATCCCGATGTTCATAAAATAAGATATAAAAACGGGCATTTACATAAAGATCTCCAGTGTACGATTCAAGATCCGACATTTCACAGTGTGGTGCGTTCAGATCAATTTCACGAATTCCTTCGTCCATATACTCCAAAAATTCATGCTCATGATGAACATTCTTCAATCAGCGAGCACAAATGTTTAGAGAGTGAGAGGGGAAACAAATGAATTCGTTAAGATAATCTAAACCAGACATGTCCAGCAAGTAGTGACAACCTAATGACAAACCTAATCAATGTACACGTGCAGCTAGATTTTACCCGCAGTAGTATAGACAAGCTTGCGGCAGTAGAATAACCAAGCCCGACGGCTCATGATCAGCCCAATGGACCCTTCCTGGACATACCTGTTAGACCCTAAACGCACCTTTGTATCCAACACACCCAGGCCACTTCCTAGTCCTAAAAATCAACCTCTTCGCCACTTTGGTGACTCTGCTGTCGTTGGATTCCGTCACACTAATTAATGCTCAATACTCCGCTCATTTGTTCGACAAACGACGGATCCTTTTAGTGGAGCCAACAGAGTGTTAACCCCTTGACTACCATGTAGGCAAGTCTTTTACGGACGTATATAAAACTGAACGGACGTTCAGTGTCTTGATATATAAATCTGAAAAATGCACGCTAATTAAAGATTTCCATAGCGTACCGTAAGCTGCACACGCGACATGTATCAAAATCTGCCGTAGTCAAGGGGTGGAGCATAAATCCAGCCGAGGTCTTGACCGATCTCCACTGGATCAACCTCTTGCCGTACCATAAATTTTACAGTTGCAGTAATTAGAACTATTTTAATTCCAATAATTTCTTCCAAGAGAAAGAGGAACTTTCAACAATACGGAATAACGTTATAATTAACCGTTTGCACTCGAGTGGCGACTCCGAGACGCCACAGAAAATTGTAACATCACGTTTCAAAACAATTTTTTACATTATACGAGTCGCGAGACTCACTTTCATATGCATCGAATGCACCATATTGCATCATTGCGCACGATAGCGCGTTCACGTCATATTCACAAAGTCATCTAAAACGGAAGCACGGCAATTTCGAGAAACAGTCAAGGACTTACAGTCTTCAAATGGCATCGAGTAAGCAAAGGGTTAACAGTCGATCATCAGAAATCTCTTCGAGAAGTCGTACGGCAAGAGGCGCAGAGAAATTGATTAGGGTGTCGAAGAAGTGGCCGGTGTTGTGTGTCGCACGAGCCGATCAAGGGAATCGACAGGGTAGCCAGCAGGCAGCGGAGGTCTCGGACCCGTCGGAGACGTATAGCGGAGCGGAGGACAAGCGAGTGCTCGTTCGAGTGGGGTAGTACTACCGTTGGGGATGCGAGTGCGACATGTGTGGATGGTAGGCAGCGTGATGGGGCGGTAGAGGCGAGGGGCAGGACTGCTGATAGGGGCCGCCGGCCAGCATAGGTCCGGGACTGGAGCACGGTACCAGGTGCGAGCTCGATGAGCCCGCGTGTGCATGCGCGATCAGGTGCGCGTGCTGCGCGTGCGAGGGTGGCGCGTGCTGCGAACCCGGCGGCGGCGGCGGCGGCGGGGGTTGCGGGTGGCCGGGGGGCCCTCCGGTCGGTCCGCCACCAGGATACCCGCCGTGCAGCGAGCCACCGTGCGGCGAGCCATACACCAGTTGCCTTACTTTCTGCTCGTCGTCGGCTATGTTGTAGGTCAGTTCGGTCTCCTCGAACCCGGTCGCGGACATCCTCTGATCCCCGGACGAGCCGGAGGTCGGCGGGTCCGGGCTGTTCAGGCAGGTCTGGATCAAAGCCTTGCCGGCCTCGCTCGTTATCATCGGCTGCAGCTTCCGGGTGGCGAACGTGTACACGTGGCCAGTCTCGCTGGCCACCAGCAGCATCACCTGCGTACCTGTCAGCGTGGACAGCTCGTACGCCTGCAACAGGGAACCACTGGATTAGGGACGAACTATGGCGCTTCGGGGTCCTTTTATTGGTATCGGCTCGGCGTCTCCTTCGGTCGGCACCGCTGGGCCTGAAAGCAATGCTCGGTCTGCGGTCAGTTCTGGAGATCTTCCGGCGTGGTTGCGAGGACAGAAGCGCGAACGAACACGGTTGAGAGTCGAAAAGAGGTGAAGAAGATGTGAAATGAATGCGGCGAGAAATTATGTAGGAATTAATTGGAAGAGGAGGAATATTCGACTTGGTTTGATACCGATGGTCGTTGTGAGTTTACTCTTGTAAATCGTCTGGAGTGAAGACGAAGAAGGTTGTGGAGCGAGATCGGGAAAGGAAGAGGCTTTAAATCGAGCAGCAAAAGGAATGAAGTAAATTAAGAGAAGGGAGGGAGCAAAATTTATGAAGACAAGGACGCGAGAATAAATTGGAAAAGGAGAATAATTCGATCTTAGTCTGATATCGATGCTTCTAGTAGAATTACTCCTGCATATCTTTCGGTGTGGTTGGTCAAGAAATGAGAGCAGAGAAGGGAAAGGTTGTGAATCGAAAAAGAGCACAAGGGGAAATAAATTGAAGAGAAGAAGGAGAAAGTAGAAATAAATTGATAAAGTTGACGTCTGAGAGCGATTTTTCCGGAACCAAATGGAGATAGTTTGTCAGCTGAGACGGCAACAGTAATTGGTAACCCTGAAGTAGTTGAGCTTGTGTGGGATAAGTGGTGGGATGGTAGAAGCTACGAGACTGTGTTTGCCTTCTTGCTATACAGGTTACTGTTGATATCATAATCTTACCCTCGGGCTCTAGTTTCTTGGTTCATGGTTTCACTTGCATTTTCCGAAGCAATCGTTTTCCACGTTTAGGTCGGTAATAATCAGACGGTATGCGAGCAAATCCTCACAATATAATTTCGTAGAAATGTTATGCTTTTTTAAACTGATTTACGAACGCGAGAATGTCCGTGAAAATCGGCGATCTATTTTAAATACCCTAATCCAAAATAGCAATTTAAGAAAGTCAGTATAGTGATCGTGAATAATGCTGTTCCCCTGTAATAAACTGTTTATCAATATTAATGTTCTTCAATTTCTATTTGTAGAAAAGTTTCTCGAATATTGAACATCACACTGTTTCATTCGATAAAAGAAGGGGAACGAAAGATCTAAGTTTTCTGTGTTTCTGTCTCGCTTCTAGTATTCTGACGTTGATGTAAATTCTGGCTAAAGATCGTGAATACAGTAAATATCGCGTATGTTGCAGCAGTCAACAGCACTAATAGCATAAACACGCACAATGACAGCGATGACAATACAATTATTAAGTTTAAGTGGATAAGGAGGAGCAGGCAAATCGTGTGCACGTAATTATCTAATTGGCGAGTGAAAATATTACCGTTTCATTTGATATCAAATCGCCTTCGAACGATGCACCCCGCAATCTTCGGTCACTCGCGACCGCAATTTGTGTAGGAGATTGCATACCATAGAAATGGTACTATGTTACAGTTTCTGTTTTTACAAAATTTCTACGTATAAAGAAAAATTTAAAAGTTTATGTATTCATTGTTTATTCGATGGATAGTTGTTTAAGAAAGGGGAGTACATAATTTCTTTTCTTGGATGAAGCACTACTTACTTTGCTTTCTCGCGCTATAATTTACTGCGACGTTCATTGCTATTACGAACGTAAGCATCGTTAAATTGACAGCATAATTTAACAATACAGATGCTAATCTGAAGTCGAAAGTGCAGGGTAAAGAGGATCGAGGATAGCGAGAAACGGAGGGACTGAACTCCATTTTTAGAGGAGGAAACGAACTGCGAAAAATGTGTGTCGGTGAGACTGGATGATGTATAACAAATGGAACCTTGAAATTTGATATGCACCATGATGAGAGAGTGCAGACAAATTTAGACAAAGTCTAATGATACGAGAAGCTTCATGCGAAGTGGATCACATAAATACACAGAAGTCCGGGAGGCAAGCACCTTGTAAACAAGCTTCGCGCGAGCTCTCGCGAGGAGAACACGTTTTAGTCCCAAATTAACCATTTTCGGCTCGTTATAGTTCGGTTTCAAATATTCCATAGTTTAACAAAAAACGAAACAAAGTGGAAAACATTATTAAACACACGTTCTCTGCGATCTTAAATTCTTTCGAATAAAGTTAAAATTACTAAATAATTGTAATAACACGAAATTACAGGAAACTCAACGAAATGAAAATAATAAGTAACCAGAAAATATTTTAGCGAGAATCTTGGTCGAATCGTGTACGAGAAAAGAAAATTCTTCAGCCGCGAAACATTCAGCGAAGCTTCGAATTCGGAAGCTTTTCTGTTCGCTCGTTAAAATAGTTTTCTTAAAGCGAATCTGTTTGAAACGCGCGAGCTTAAAGTCAGATCCTTGAAGAACGAAAGTATCACTTGACAGACCTCTAGTCGTTTGACGTGTATCAGAAACACTTGATTTATTCCGGTCTTTATAGAGCACATTTATGCAAATCGTTGCCGCCTGCGCAACCATTAGCACGTCATTTTGATAAATAATTAATTCGAAGCGCGCGACGGAAAAACTGTGTTTGCATTTTCATTTGCGAGTTTATACCTTTAATAACAGAACAATTATCAAGATTTGTTTAAGCGGTTCGCGCGTAAGCCAAGGATGGAAAACATTCTTCTTACACGAAGAACATTAGATAAAAAGCGCCAAGTACATTTAATTACAGCCTATGTTGTTCAACTCATTGGTAGGAAATGTGTTATGGGATATAACAAGATTGTTATCTGTACTTTTAACTATAGCGAACGAGTTTGTCAAGAGAATTCGAAAGTCGCTGACAAACAGATTTTTTCAAAATTTAAAATTAGCTTTAGTGGTCTACAGCGCTCTAAACATTATTTTCTAATCTGATGTAAAAGAATCATTATTTTTAAAACTTTAATTGTCTATAACTTTATAGTTTTGTTTCATGACGATATCGCTTTGCAGCATAATAATTTTTGAACACAGTTATTTGAATTAAAATATTTGTGTTTTAGTTATATTTATCGCGTGTTTCGTAATAACTTTCATTTTTCCGATGGCGTTGTAAAGCAATTATGTCAGCTTCGTGTCAAAACATGGCTAATTTTAGAGGACCCGTCTTCAGAAAAGGGGAACAATCTATCTTTGGTTTTCTAAATTCGTATGAAAGATGCAATTTGCTTTAGGTTCTTCTACGGATTTAGCTGCGACGGGCTTTGGATCAAATAAACATCTATAATCTGACCAGTCCGGGGCTCGAAACGGAAAATCTATTTACAAGAAATATGCAACTATGTATAGTCGAGTGTAAAAGAATTTTTGCTGACTCCCGATAGTGGAAATCAAAACTCAATATTAATATCTACAACGAATCGTGTAAAAACGATTTCTATCCGAAATGTTTCGGTACCGAATTTTTTAGTTGTCATTTATTAATTAATTAATCGTCATTAAAATACTCGATTGATAGCTGTCAACGAGTGAATCTAACTTAATCTTAATCACAATCTTTGTCGAATTAGCCTCTTCAATTTTTGGCAGAAATAATCACAATAACTCAATTCTAGAACAAGAATTAACCACAACGGTCTGCTAACTCATACTGAACATTCTCTTGGCAACAGTACACAACAGTATCATCGAGACTTAAGTGGGTTCTGAATTACAGCAATATGAGTAAATCGTGTGTGCATTCCTGGCGGTTATGTATTTTTGACGATTACAAAAGAACAATACCAACCCCAAATGGAGTATTAACTGACTACCGTCAGCGACATGTGAACCTAAATGGGTACTTGTTAACTATAGCCCGTCCTGGCTAGAAGATATCAAATGTAAGGAGTTCTGTGAAACCACGAGTTAAAGAGATACAAGTTACCTAATAATAATCAATATTTATGCCGCAAGTTTATCACGGTTTCCAGAGGATAATTTCGTTCTCCCCGGTGTATTTTCATCCAAAATACACGGAGAAGTTACTGGCCTGCGAGAGCGCAGTTGTCACTCATAAATTGCATGCTCGCAGAAGTCATTGGCGCGCAATCCGTACGCTATGACGACGTGCATCCCTTTTTTTTCTCCATTAGGTTGATGCGCAGTACTCTTTCACTTTCTTTGAAATATTTAAAAATGTGAAAAACCGACTTTATTCGAACTGTAGATCACTAACTATTTTTATCATGAGCCCATAACTAGATCATTCTAGTGTCAAGCAATTTTTCTAATATTTATAATAAAGAGTTGTTGATAATTGATTCTAATCGGAAAATACTTTACTCGAATTGCCTATGAACGAGTCTTTCTTGAGTCGTTTATTTACATCCTTCCCCTTTATTAATAACCATTTTAGTTTAATAATAATCTGTACATTCATTTTCTGCGCTGACAAGTATAAATAAATACACTTCCACGCGATTTAAATTTATCTTTAGCAGTAGTTAAGAATCATAGTACTCATCGGTTTACGTTAGCGGCCCTCTGGTGGTGCATCTTAGAAAACGTGGTGCTTCTATTCTTCCGGTTCTTTAAATACTTCCTTCCCAAGATATTATTCGGCCATAATCACTCATTGAAGCGTCATCAGTACTAACTGATGAATTTCTAACCATCGCAAATCATGGCTGAATTATTTCTATATCCCATTATCAATGCACTGTTATCAAATATAATCTCAAACAATTATTTCTATTGCATTATCTTGTTTTGTACTTCTAAACAACCAGGCCACTCGAGTCTCGGATTTATTTGAGACCGTTTTTAAAAATCATAAACGAGCAAAGACGTAGACTTTAACGACAATTGGAAAAAGAGGACGATGGTTGGATAAGGAAGAACAGGCAAAACGCGAAGGATAATGGTTACCGTATGGTGGTTATGCACACCGCGCAGTATGCGCGAATAGTAACGAAATGGTATGATGATTTTAAACCGGATAAAAGAACACTTGAGAACGAAATATTGTTATTATTATGCCTACACCCCTACCTAACTTCCACTTCAAACACTTCGTTTCCGAAAAAGCCTGACGCACGGTAAATATTCGATATGGGGGTGAAAAAGAAAAACAACATTGTATGCGCACCAACCTAATACGTCTACGCCAAATATGGAAACCGGCTTTTCGATTTTAATCAAATGGAAATGCACTGCAACATAGGTTCTGGTGTGAGAAATCACACAGCATCGATCCGGAGGACCGATCGTCGGTACCGACGCGACGCCCGACAGACATCATCACTCTGGATTGGGTAAATATGCAGTTTAAAAGAGCCACCACCGTTTTCAATTACCCTCAGATACGTTGTCGAGGTCATCATTCTGAACAACTTTTTCCTATAAATATAGCAAGCGTTCTCTTCTAGTTTCTGAGATGTTCATAAAAAAAAATTAAAGAGACAGTGATTCCGTCAGATCAGGAATATATTGGATTGTTCTTCGAGACTAAACCCAGACCTAGTCCAAACCTAATGCCACTAATTTACTTTGCACAGGTCCGTAACAATAAAGCTATTACGTTGTTGCTATTTTATTTGTTTATTCGTTTATATTTTCATTTATAGGATCTGCCAGATATTTTCGTCTATGGATACGCACAGAACCACTATAGCTCAAATCTTTACCCTTTGGTCGTTATAATTTCGGATACCATGGTGACGCATACGCCGCCGCGAACGCGTAGATATACGCAGAATTCATTGTAGTAGTAAGTAACAGTTTTTTGCGAATATCTCAAGAAGTAGAAGATCGTCTATTGTATCTATAGGAAAAAGTTGTCAAGAATTGACGAGCTTAACAACATATGTGCACCAAGGTCATTGAAACCGGAGGTGACTCCCTTAAAGCGCGTATTTACCCTGGATCGTTTGATATGAAAAATAGGTCAACAGGTTTGCCCGATACAAACCTTCTTCATGATTCCGGTTTTCCTTTTGGAGAAGGTGGTATACCTCCGCAGTTTATTGTCGATATACTCCATTTTAATCTTGACCCGTCCCTTGGTCTTCTTGCCATTCGACGGTGGTGACTTTTTCGGCTGGCCCAAACTGGTGAACGACTCCTCCAAATTGTCGGGTACACAGTCTCCGGACATCGACATGCCTTGCTGTTGCGAAAGTGCCTGCCTTGCATTGCTGTCATCGTAACAGACGTCCGCCGTGGTCCTCTTGATACCTCTCTGTACAGGTCCCACGCCGGCGTTCGGTCCGCCTGCAGCAGCCGCCGCGGCCATCATGGTGGCGCCACCGCGGCTTATTTGAGAAGTTGTAAGCTGGGAGGTGGACGGTCGGCCGTACATTTCCGAGCCAGCGTCGCTGCCTATCATCCCCATGCTGTACCCAAGACTTGCGTACCGACTATCTCTTCCGCCGCTAGGGTTGTCCATTACGGACTCGCACACATTTATTCCCTTTCCCTCGGCCCTTCTTCGCCACGGAATCGCGAAAAGTCGGCGCAATGTTTCCCACGTGATCAACCATCTAGAGGAACACGGGACAACAACGCGCACTGCACGAGCGCTCCCCGCGAACTGAATGCGCGCTGAGTATCGTAACTTGACCTACGTGCTAACGCGGTGCCTCCGTACGTTCCTGCGCAGCTTCTACCCCCACCAGCTGCCGAGCACGCGGTGAAAAAGTAGACCCACCATACCCGGCAGCCTTTACCGTGGGAAGATTTTCGGAAATTTTCCCATGGAAAAATCGAGCCGGTGACGAAGGACCCCGAACCGTCCGCAGAACGATCGCACGCGCCTTCGATTCGCCGAAATTCACGGCGAAAAGTTCGCGCGGAGTGCTACAAGAATCGGCGAGAGGGCGTCCCCGGCTGCCATATTTAGAAGTAGACGTTACCATATTAGGGAAAGTTTGCCAAATATGGTGAACAGAGGTGGTCCTTCCTTTTCAAATGATCACTCGGCGCGCCGCGACAAAACACCAATCCAACTGACAGTAGCGCTTCCTGCACGCCTCTCCTCCCCCTCCTCTCTTTTACCGGTATGTCCTTCCTATTTCTACGTGCTTACTAAAACATAAGGCTGATAAGCGGCTCTCTGTGTAGGGCCGCTATTTCTTGCCACGTCCGAAGCTTTCGTGCTTTTATCAGCCTTTGTTTACGTTCGGTTTGACCGGCCGTGTCGCGTTTCTGCGGGGGTGTGAACCACGATCGGGAATAATAACGTGTATCGCAAACGCATGGAGTAATCGTCAGATTCCTCTTTACGACGAGGTCTAGTTTATGTTTAAATAACATGCTTCTGTTCATCCCTATGAATGTCCAACAACATTCATTCATACAGCCCAACGTGAATCAGATTTTGATGTTTTTGATTGGGTCTGCTAGAGCTTCTGTGGAGGAAACCCATAAGCTTTACAGAATTCAGCATAGTAATTGCTACCAATCTTATTTGGCTGCATCTGTTAACATTCTCTTTCAATATTTAAGAGTTTTCGGATGGTCTAGAATAGAAATTATTTATACAGACTTAATACAATGATTGCTATATCGTAACATATTGTTCTTGTAACTGACAGAAAAAAGTAATGAAATATAAGTCAAATTTTATGTACACAAAATATGTACAATTATGTAATAAGTTGTTTTTATAAATGAAACTATAGGTATTAGTTCAAACAAAATTCTTAACAACTTGCATACCAGATTTTATTTATGATGATAACAATAAAAAGGAGATTCTTGTAAAGTTAGATGCAAACGTGTTTCTTCCTTTTAATGTAATGTTACAATAAATAGAAAATAATTTTGACTACCTATTGTAAAAAAATATTATAATTACATTATATACTGAATTGAATTTATATTATACAAAACATTCTTTTTATACATCAGACATTATTCATTATTTCTATTACACTTTTTTTCTTAAGATAAATTATATACATAGGAAAAAATTAATTATTCACCAGATGCTATCGTATGTGCTGCAGATATTAGAGTGTCATGTATCTCACGAGCATATGAAACTTGTGCTCTTACAGTCATTAAGAATTGAGGATATGTTAAAGCTGGTCCTTCTTGTCCTCCAACGGTATCAGTACGTGTCGGTATCACAGATACTGGTAAATAGCGTTGAGAACTAGAATTCTGTGATAAACATTCTATAGAAGTTTTTAAATGTAATTCTATTTGATCGCAGATGGAATAAAATTCTTCCATGTTCTTATTAAAACGGTGGTCAGGTTGGTCGACTCCTTTAAGGGAACCAACATCTACTAAACTATTTTGATGCAGTGTATGAGCTGCAGTTTTCAGAGCTATAGATAATGAATCTCTTAGTGGTCCGATTAAAGATTTTACTTTAGAAATATTGTCAAGTTTCTCTTGTGTCTGTTGCTGTTGCTGCTGTTGTTGCTGTTGTTGTTGGACCTGTTGTGGCTGTGCTTGTTGTGGATTTTGAGGAATCTGAGGATTTACGGACTGGGTCATTTGCCCTACCCCAATAGCTCCTGGTTGTTGAATGGGTGGAATATTCATTGTAAACCTAACAATATAATCACATGCAACAATGAAGAAAATGTTGTATATCTTTTACATAAAGTTTATTACAAATGTCACTCCTTTCATGTAACAGCTTAATTGTAACATTGAATTGCAATTAATTATGTACATGTAGATCTTCTTTGTATGATTAGATTTACTTTGATAACTTTTAAAATATTCTTACTTGCAAATAAAATATATGAAGAAAATTGTTACCTACACTTTGTTAAAATAGCTGCCAATTACTCAAAACATTTTACTGAATTCGAATATGTTTTAGCTTCGACTTCGACTGAAAAGTGAAAGTAAGCAGTCATTGATATTATAGCAATGCTTTCTGCAACATGCCGACAGGGGGCTACGTAGCATACTACCAAACGGAGCTTCAGGCGCCTGACTGTTATTGGGATTTCTACTCAAGGCCAGTGTGTTCATTGGTGTTCGGTGTCTCGGAATCTGCTCCAAGTGGCGGAGAGGAGACCTCACAAATGGGATTGGACGATTCTAATGGATTGCCAATGGAAACCATTTGCATCATCCAATCCCATTTGTGATGGGTAATTCTCTCACTCCTACTTTCCTGGAAGAAAGTCGTAAAGCGGTCAAAATTTCCTTTGAGAACTTATCTTTTTTGTAATTTTTATTAACATTTTTCCTAATTACATACGAACAAAGACTAAGTTCTAATAATTCCTTTTTGTATATCCTTATTTCATTCACTACCTCAAGTTACCCATAATTCTTTACGTTAGAGTTCTGCTATCTATGCATAGTATGTAAACCGGTCACTAACAGTCACGAATCACTATTTGAATTTGTAGTTTTGTTTACTCAGTGTAAATATATATAAATCAGTATATTTTGATGCATTTGTAACATAGTTTTTGTAATTCAAGATGCATATTAAAAGTATGGTGTTAGAAGGTTTTAAATCATATGGAAAAAGAATTGAAATAGTTNAGATGCAAACGTGTTTCTTCCTTTTAATGTAATGTTACAATAAATAGAAAATAATTTTGACTACCTATTGTAAAAAAATATTATAATTACATTATATACTGAATTGAATTTATATTATACAAAACATTCTTTTTATACATCAGACATTATTCATTATTTCTATTACACTTTTTTTCTTAAGATAAATTATATACATAGGAAAAAATTAATTATTCACCAGATGCTATCGTATGTGCTGCAGATATTAGAGTGTCATGTATCTCACGAGCATATGAAACTTGTGCTCTTACAGTCATTAAGAATTGAGGATATGTTAAAGCTGGTCCTTCTTGTCCTCCAACGGTATCAGTACGTGTCGGTATCACAGATACTGGTAAATAGCGTTGAGAACTAGAATTCTGTGATAAACATTCTATAGAAGTTTTTAAATGTAATTCTATTTGATCGCAGATGGAATAAAATTCTTCCATGTTCTTATTAAAACGGTGGTCAGGTTGGTCGACTCCTTTAAGGGAACCAACATCTACTAAACTATTTTGATGCAGTGTATGAGCTGCAGTTTTCAGAGCTATAGATAATGAATCTCTTAGTGGTCCGATTAAAGATTTTACTTTAGAAATATTGTCAAGTTTCTCTTGTGTCTGTTGCTGTTGCTGCTGTTGTTGCTGTTGTTGTTGGACCTGTTGTGGCTGTGCTTGTTGTGGATTTTGAGGAATCTGAGGATTTACGGACTGGGTCATTTGCCCTACCCCAATAGCTCCTGGTTGTTGAATGGGTGGAATATTCATTGTAAACCTAACAATATAATCACATGCAACAATGAAGAAAATGTTGTATATCTTTTACATAAAGTTTATTACAAATGTCACTCCTTTCATGTAACAGCTTAATTGTAACATTGAATTGCAATTAATTATGTACATGTAGATCTTCTTTGTATGATTAGATTTACTTTGATAACTTTTAAAATATTCTTACTTGCAAATAAAATATATGAAGAAAATTGTTACCTACACTTTGTTAAAATAGCTGCCAATTACTCAAAACATTTTACTGAATTCGAATATGTTTTAGCTTCGACTTCGACTGAAAAGTGAAAGTAAGCAGTCATTGATATTATAGCAATGCTTTCTGCAACATGCCGACAGGGGGCTACGTAGCATACTACCAAACGGAGCTTCAGGCGCCTGACTGTTATTGGGATTTCTACTCAAGGCCAGTGTGTTCATTGGTGTTCGGTGTCTCGGAATCTGCTCCAAGTGGCGGAGAGGAGACCTCACAAATGGGATTGGACGATTCTAATGGATTGCCAATGGAAACCATTTGCATCATCCAATCCCATTTGTGATGGGTAATTCTCTCACTCCTACTTTCCTGGAAGAAAGTCGTAAAGCGGTCAAAATTTCCTTTGAGAACTTATCTTTTTTGTAATTTTTATTAACATTTTTCCTAATTACATACGAACAAAGACTAAGTTCTAATAATTCCTTTTTGTATATCCTTATTTCATTCACTACCTCAAGTTACCCATAATTCTTTACGTTAGAGTTCTGCTATCTATGCATAGTATGTAAACCGGTCACTAACAGTCACGAATCACTATTTGAATTTGTAGTTTTGTTTACTCAGTGTAAATATATATAAATCAGTATATTTTGATGCATTTGTAACATAGTTTTTGTAATTCAAGATGCATATTAAAAGTATGGTGTTAGAAGGTTTTAAATCATATGGAAAAAGAATTGAAATAGTTGGTTTTGATAAAGAGTTCAACGCGATCACAGGATTCAACGGTAGCGGCAAATCAAATATTTTGGATGCAATATGCTTTGTTTTGGGTATTACAAATCTTGGCCAGGTATTTTATAATTGTTCTTGCTTTTTCATTTAAGCAAATTTTTAGTAATTGTATTCTTATGTTACATACTTATAAATGGAAATCGTTGCTTTAGAAAATTTGATATGATCTTGAAAATTTTATGTATTTTGTCCATATTATATACACAACAACGTATTATAATACAAAATTAATATTTTTATATTATTTATTTATAATTCTAATTTACTAATAAATTGGTTTCGTAAAACTAAAAACATTTTATAACAATTTTTTAATTACAGGTGCGTGCAGCATCATTACAAGATTTAGTCTATAAATCTGGACAAGCTGGTATTAAGAAAGCTAGTGTTACAGTTACATTTGACAATAGCGAGAGAACCTCTTCTCCAATGGGATATGAACATTATGAAGAAATAACAGTAACGCGACAGGTTGTTATCGGTGGGAAAAATAAATATTTGATCAATGGTTCCAATGTCCCAAACAAACGTGTACAAGATATGTTTTGTTCTGTACAATTGAATGTGAACAATCCTCACTTTTTAATTATGCAAGGGAGAATTACAAAAGTTCTTAATATGAAACCTGTAGAAATTTTATCTATGATAGAGGAAGCTGCAGGTACAAGAATGTATGAGAATAAGAAGGAAGCTGCCTTAAAAACTATAGAGAAGAAAGACAGTAAATTAAATGAAATAAACGATGTATGAAATAATTTCTAAGTTTTACAATAATTTTATTTTGTATGTATTGAAAAATATAACTTGTTTCAGATTTTAAAAGAAGAGATAGGTCCAAAATTAGCAAAACTCAAAGAAGAAAAAGCGCAATATGTAGAATTTCAACGTATAGAAAGAGAATTAGAACACTGTAAAAGAATTTGCCTTGCTTGGAAATATGTGAATGCTATAAATGACAGTGAAAAGGCAGAAGGAAGCGTACAAGCAGTTAAGGATAAAATAAATGAAAAAAAGAAAAGCATTACCGATGGCGAAGAAGAACTTAAAGATATAGACAAAGAATACAATGACATTACCTCGAAAAGAGACACAGTGTGTATTTCGATTAAAAATGGAAATTAATATATTATATTCCTAATTATTTTTATTCTTTCTAGGAAACAGGGGGTCAGTTACAAACTTTGGAAAAGGAATTAGGAGAAACTGAAAAGAAGCAATTCAAATTATTGGCTGAGGTTAATAGTAGTAAAGAAGATATCAAAGCTGCTAAAAAGGCTGTAGAAGAACTGAAGACCAACATAAAAGATGACGAAGATGCTTTTATATCAAAACAGAAAGAATTTGCTAAAGTCGAAGGGCTTTTCAAACAATTAAAAGAGACAGATCAGCAAGATTGTAAAGCTGTACAGGCTGCGCAAGAAAAATATCAAAAAATTACTTCTGGTTTATTAGAAAGTCAAGATGGTGAAAATGCGACGTTGGAACAGCAATTAATAGCAGCAAAACAGTCTGCAACAGAAGCACAAACACAATATAAACAATGTGATATGACATTAGCACATAATAAGGAACAATTAAAAAAGAAAAGAACGGATCTTAAAAACACTGGGGACGAATATAAAAAATATACTAAAGATCTTGATGATAAGGAGAAAGAGCTAAAAAATTTGGAAAATCAACTAAACAAATTAGATTATCAAGATGGAACTATAGAATCATTAAAACAGCAAAGGCACACACTGAGAAATGAGATAAGAGTGTTGGAGGAAAAAGTAGATCACTTTGAATCCAGATATCCACAAATTAGGTTTGAATATCAAAAACCTGAACCTAATTTCAATCCCAAGTCTGTGAAAGGTGTGGTAGGCAAATTAATTACTGTTAAGGATAAAAGAGCGGCGTATGCCTTAGATATTGTTGCAGGTGGAAAGGTACGTAAATATTTCAATTGTAAAACAATATTCATAATTTGTTTTGCTATTGAGAGATTAAAATTACAATTAACTCCTTACATTTCAGTTGTACAATGTAATAGTTGATACAGAAACAACAAGTAAAAAGTTACTTCAACGTGGACAGTTACAACAACGCGTTACCATTATTCCGTTGAACAAAGTAAATGGTAGACCAATGGATAATCAAATGGTTCGTTTGGCACAAAAGATAGGAGGAGAAGAAAATGTACAAATGGCGTTATCACTTATAGAATATCCGGAAGAAACTCGGTCAGCAATGACTTGGATTTTCGGACAAATATTCGTTTGTAAAGATATCGATGTTGCTAAAAAGATTGCGTTTCACGAAAAGATTATGAAAAAATGCGTCACCTTAGAAGGCGATGTTGTTGATCCTGCCGGTACACTGTCTGGTGGTGCTGCATCTAAGTCTGGTTCTGTTCTGTTAAAATTAGAAGAGTTGAAAGCTATACAGAAAGAATTAGACATTAAACAACAAAGTTATCAAAAGGTTGAAACCGATTTGGCAAATTTGTCGAGCGTTGCTGAGCAGTATATGTCTTTAAAACAAAAGTTTGATTTACGTAATTATGAAATTGGTGTAATTAAACAAAGGCTAGAACAAACTATATATTATAAAATAAAAGAAGAGGTATGTTTCAATAGCTTGACACACTAAAATAGGTATGAGTATTGTTTAATTAAATATTAATCTGTTTTTCAGATTGATGAGTTGGAGAAAAATATTGAAGAACTTGTACAGAAAATGGCAAATGCAGACAAAATTGAAAAAGCAAATATTAAACGGGCTGGAGAATTGGAACACCAACTGAAGGATTCTGCTAATATTCGCGAGAAACAATTGAAAGACACTGAGAAGGAACTAGAAAAACTTAAAAAGAAAGCAGTGAGTAGTCGTAAGGAATGGCAAAAACGAGAACAAGAGGCAGAAACACTTGAACTAGAAATTAAAGAGTTACAACAGAGTATTGAAGCTGGAAAAGAACAGTTACAAGCATCTGAAGAGAAATTAATTTCACAACAAGAAGCAGAAACTGAACTAGAAGAAAAATTAAAGGAAATAAAAGCTGACGTGAAACAATTGCAATCTGACATAAAAGAACATAAAGAAATTATTAATAAACAAAATGTTCATATGCGAAAGCTTGTAGAAAAGAAAGAAGAAATAATAAAACGGAATAAAGATGCAGAATTAGATATTAAAAAATTAAATCATGAAATTAATTCAATTGAAAGTTGTGCTACTGAGTGCAAACAAAAAGTTACGGAACTTTTACGAAAGTACGAGTGGATTGAACAAGATAAGATCTATTTTGGGAAAGCTGGTAATTAGCTATTCATAATGAAAGAATATATTGCTTTTATACATTAATAATGATCAATATTTTTTTCTTTCTCTTAGGTGGTATTTATGATTTTGAAGTTAACAAACCTGATGAGATGAAACAAAAAGTAAATAGATTACAAACGTTTCATGAAAAATTAAGTCGGAACATTAATACGCGAGCTATCAGTTTATTTGATAAAGAAGAAGAGCAATATAATGAAATGATGAAGAAAAAGAAAATTGTTGAAAATGATAAGAAGAAAATATTGGAGACAATTAAACACTTGGATGAAAAGAAAAGGGAAACTTTGCTTACAGCTTGGAAACAGGTACTGTCTATTGATCATTTTATGAGATTAAATATTAGTATTGTAATTACATGAAATACTTAATTAATATTAATTTCTAGGTGAACAAAGACTTCGGATCGATATTTAGTAGTTTGTTACCAGGAGCCGATGCAAAGCTACAAGCTCCTGAAAATCAATCAGTCACAGATGGCTTAGAAGTGAAAGTTGCCTTTTCCGGTATTTGGAAAGAATCGCTAGGTGAATTATCTGGGGGACAGAGATCCTTAGTAGCATTGTCATTGATTTTAGCTATGCTTTTATTCAAACCGGCTCCTCTGTATATTTTGGATGAAGTTGATGCTGCTCTGGATCTCTCTCATACAGAGAATATTGGTATAATGTTAAAAAGACATTTTAAACATTCACAATTTATTGTTGTATCATTGAAGGATGGAATGTTCAACAATGCTAACGTAGTATTTACGACTAGGTTTGTTGATGGAATGTCAACAATATCTAGAAGTGAAAGAATAAGAAATAAGTAAATATAGATTAAAATGCGTAGATTTATGTGTATAAATAAATTAATATTTTTATATCTTATGTCGAAAAACTACATAATGTAATATAATAAATATAGAATATGGAATTACGGCATCCTCAAATCCTTAAAATGCAATAAGAAATTAGGTGAACAAACATTAAGGGCATTGTGATTAAAGCTGACAGGGCCTGCTTCTTAAATATTTTTACAATATGTTGCAATTATTAACAGTCAGTACATTAAATATCTTACAGAACTACAAAGAAACAGTAAATTTCAAACGTGAAGAAATTTATTACTGTGGAATATTTTTAATCATTGTATATCTAGATTTTTATGAAATGTTAATTATTTAAGTTTTTAAGTACGTAAGTATATTTCAAAACTTATTTAAATATATGTATCTTCAAAAGAAAAGATAGTTTAAAGTTCTTTTTCTGGGGTTTTTACAGATATCCAAATTATTTTATTACCAAGCATTTTTCTTAAATGTTGCTGTATGTTGCACAGAATCCTAAAATGTATCTACCAAACTTGTCCAATTAATTTCTTTAAAGAAGGGATGTTGTTTTATCTCTGGTATTGTCAATCTATCATTTGGTTGATATTTCAATATCTGAAAATTTATAAAATTTGTTTAGAATTTATTTATATACATTGATTAATTATTTAAAATATTATTTATAAACTTACATTAAGCAATAAGGACTTGGCATCATCTGATAGTTTGCAAGGAATGTTAAGTAAGGAATGCGATTGAAATACACTTGGATGTTTTGCTTGAAATTTCTGAAAGTAAATATATAGCATAGAATATATTTGCTCCACTACTTATTATTAATATAAATTAAATTGTTATTTTAACTTACATTGCCTACCAATAATTCATATAAGATAACACCAAAACTCCAGATATCTGTGGCTGGAGTAAGGGGAATCATTGGCGAGAACATACATAATTCAGGAGACGCGTAAGGATGTTTATATTTCAGTAAATCTATATTATGGGTCGGTACAATGTACGTTAGTTGAACGTGACCATTATCATCCAATAATATGTTATCTGGTCTTAAATCAAACACTGTAACTTCTTGTTGGTGTAATGCTTCTAATGCTAAAAGTATTTCAGCAGCCCAAAGACGAATTACATTTTCTGGTATCGTCCACGATATTTCTTCAGCATCTGCAATATTCTTTAAGGATTCCATTAATTGCATAGTATCGGTATACTGTATCTGTTGATTATTTGATGTATAATGATTTGTTTTATCAGCTTTACTATGAGATTTTGTTGATTTCTTAAATACTAAATTATTCATAGTATTATCTGTTTTATTACTTTTATGATCTATTGTAACGAGTGCATCGACAGTTTTTAAACTGTCCGTTGAAGAACTCGTTGATTCCTTGTCACCGAAACTAAGATCTTTGAAACTATCGCTTAACGATGAATTGTCAGTACTACATTGGCTCCTTTCTTTTTTATCATTATTTACCGATAAGTAATTAGAAATTATCACATTGTTTTCAGGTATTTTTTCGATTGTAGTAGTTTTGTCTATACTGTCAATTTCTATTGATATCTTATCAATGTCCAGCGGTCCGTCAGTCCAATTTTTAGACTGGTTTATACTGTTCTTTAAATTCAATAAATTAGTGTTATGTTCATGGTTTATCAAATAATCAGATTCACGTAATCGATTTACTACAGTATTACTTTCTTTCAATGTTGCATTAACCGATTGTAGCAGTATCTGCGCCTTTTCTAATAATTGAGTAGTAGATAAATTTCTATATATTTCATTTGTTTTATCTACTGTCGTTGGATCTATCTTCATTTGTACTTTGGAATTTGTACTAGTTAATTTTACATTATCTAGAGATGCAGTTCCTTCATTTTCATTTTTCATGCTATCTTTCTCCAAAATAGTGTTAGTATCGTTTACCGATTTTCCAATGTTATTTTCGACAATTCTTTTATCACATGATCGGTTGTTGTTAGAGGTATAGTGTGATAATATAAAATCCCACAACTTTCCACGGCTGAAATGTAATTACAAAATTACATTTAAATTGACTATGACAAATGATAAATAATGGTATAGCATAGTAGCACATTTACCTTAGATGTTGTAAAATTAAGAATACTGTTGTTTCTGTATCAATGCATGCATGTAATTGTACCATATACGGCACCTGTCCGCGTAGTATATAATCACTTACGTTTTCTTTACTTGTTGGTGACTTTTCTACAGTCTGAAATAAAAAAATTACAGATTTAATTGCTTAAACATATATTTTACTTTATGTAATACAAAATAACTTCTGAATCAATCATACTTTTACAATATTGAGGCAGTTTTTGCGAACATCTTTCACAAGCATCACTGTGTCCAAACTCTTCAATACTTTATAATGTTGAAGCTCTGAAATGGGCTTACTTAACAAAGAAATATTACAGTTCAGGTATCTGTTGTAAAGTTTTTCAGCCCTTTCCAAATATTTTGATATTTTTTCCTTAATTATTTCTGCTCTTATTTTATTAGAATCAGATTCAACACCAGATCGTAAACTAGAGATTCCCATTTTGTACTGGGTAAATGCTTCTTCATACTCTGTAAGATCTTCATGTTTAAAGGCTGCATTCATATGTGCAGCTGCAACTAATATATATTGAGAACAATCTGTCCACGTTTGTGGTAAATCAGAACCATCGTGTGCTGTCAATGAAGAATTCACATCAGTAGTGAATGCATCAGTGTTTGTGTTTCTGCTCGATGTCTGTATAATTACACAATCATTGTTATTTTGAAGATTATAGTTTGGATCTTCGTAGCAGTTGTTATTTTTATTACAAATTAACTGGTTATCTTCTAAACTGGATATAATTTTGTCTATGTTACTATCTCTTACAAGCAAATTGTCATCTGTGTTTCTTGTCATGTATGCTCTTTTGTCCTCAATCTTGGAATTTGTGTCATTTAACTGTGCAAATTGTAATTCCTTAGATTTACAAGCTTCTTGAGTTTGCTTTGTTTCATTTTCAGATATAGAGCTGTGAATAACTTTGGGTTCAAAAATAGTTTGAGAAATAATATCGTTACTTGATGAACGATTTACATAAGCATGTCGATCATCTTCCATTGATGTATCAGAACTAAGAGATTGTGAACAATCGCTGACAGAATAATCTCCATGACTAGATTCAAAAAATTTTATGAAAATATCGCTAGAGTATAAATACGAATGCCTGCCTACAAATTCTAAAAATTTTAATGCACATTCCCTTCTTTCTTCTATAACTTCAGCCTCGAACCTGCCAAAATATTTTGGTTTAGGGAATGATGGGTAACTCTCCTTAATTTGAGACTTTGCACAAAGAATGTTTAATTCTGAGTGAAGTTTCTTAAAGTCATTATAGCGCTTCCAGACAGACACTTTAGATATTTCTTCATGAGAAGATTTTAAAAATACCTAAAAAAATAATAATTATTGTGACAATACAAAATAAATAAGAAACAAATATGTGAAAGTAATTATTTGTACACATACATTTACAAACATATATAATTTACATTACAGTTTATCTATATTTATTACTATCTTTTATGTGTCAAATTAACTACTTAATAGGTTTCACTGAATGTAAAAATCAATTGTGTTTTCATGATATATTAAAAAGTAATTAAAACGTTATTGTCATACCACAGAAGTGACTTTGTATATAGTAAAGCCTTTCTTGTGTCGTGTCGTTTCGGGAATAATAAATCGTCTCATCCATTTGTCCCTTGTCGGTGCCATCGTTTGTATAATTCAACTATAAAACCAGAAGCTCGATAAATTGATCGCTTATCGCTCGAACTCGCACATGTCTACCATTGTATTTTTACGTATCTGGCTTTTTTCTTCGTTTGCGAGACATGTATATCGCAATTGATTACATTGTCAATTACTGTCATTCACATGCACTTGTATGCATCCATGTCATAAATATACCCATCATTTGAAATAATTGTTTATCAAGTATGCGCTTACAAATTTCAGTAAGACGCACACCATTGTCTACATAATTTAAGTTACTTCAAATGAACGCCGAGCAAAGATCACTTATTACTTTTACATTATTTGAAAAATATAATTATGTATAGAAATAGTACGATTAAGTAGGTTACACCATCGCTATTACAACTGCATGTCAGTGTTATCTTGTTTCACTATTTTTATATCACAAATTGGACAACTGTCAGTGAATTAGTGAGTAATACACCTGCTTCGATCTTCTCTTCATCACTGCATGAGCGCTACTGCGCGTGCGATGCAATGGTCTATCACGAACTTAAAAGTCAAAAGTGGACGACATACAACGAATTAAAATAAACGAATGAGAATCAAGATATGTACATATGTATGTATTTCTTTGTAAATGCCATTTACTGATCACTTTTTATCTTTTAAATATGTTTTAAATAATCGAATATGTAATATTTTATTATAATAATAATACACTTAATAAAATAATAATACACTTGTACTGTACTGTTTAATACGCTATCACTAGCTGGCTATTCTATTTATTTTAATTAGAGAACTCTGGAAAATCACTGATTTTTAGTGATAGATATCGGTCCTTACAAATTTACCAAGAATTTAATAACCGACTGATAGTAATATTTCCAATCAAACTACGTATATACATATATTGTTATTGTTTTTGTTAAGTATTAAATGCAACTATACAATAGGAGTTGTACACTGTACTATTAGATTTCCGGCGAGATAATTAGACAATTTATTATATGTATACTGTACATATGTAGATACATATTTGTATTAGTACAAATATTTTGTTATTCTAATCTTCTATATATACATATTTTTAAGATACAATTTTAAAAATTCGTATTTTTTTCAATAAAAAGAAATAGCGATGCCGGTATTTCAGAGCTTGTAACATAAATTCCAACATGATGATCAATCTATGTAGCTCTATACTTTGTGCACATGCTAAAATCCACAACGAGTCTGTTTTTTTCTAGTTTATTGTTTATGCCAATTAATCGTGTATTGTACACATAATATTTATCATTGGCTTGGAAGCTAGCCGGTGTCAGCTGGTCAAGGGTTAATGTCAGTTGATGTTAGTGAAAATGAAATTTGGTGGCACTCTCACAAGATTTAAATTTTATCTTATCTAAAAAAAAAATAGCAAAATAAACGTACAATCGTTCCTTGTTAATAATCGCTGATAGATTGGTACCATGTAGCTGACAGTTACTAAGTGAAATCTGTGAATGTACACGTTGTTACACAGGTATCGCGTATTACGTATTGAATATGAGATGAAATGGCTTATTTGTAGACCTTTCAACGCATTTCTTCCTACCTCTTTTGTATTAGAACGAGATCAATTAAACAAGTCAATTGAATAAAAGTTAATATTTAACAATATTTATGACAATTTATTGAGTAAAGTATATTCTCGTTGACGAAAATGGAGAAGGAACGATCTCGCGTGTTGGTGCCGGTACTGATCAGTGCCTGTGCAATTCCAATTTCTATGCTGTTTTGGATCGTAAACGTAGTTTACTCAACCTTTCATCCGGATTCCAATAATCACTTTGAAGGTATACGAATGCTACTTACCCTTTTTCACTGTTCCGTTTCTCTATGTGATTGTTTTGATTGACATAACCTTCTAACATTTTTAGAAGACTTGGTGATATCGCCATGGAGGTGGTTGGCAGTCGTCGCAATTCCTACCTTTATAGCATTTTGGGGTTTCAGAAAGAAAAGCGTGGATATCACTGGCGCTATTCTTGGTAATAAAATGTTCTTTAGATTTTAAAATAAGAAAATTAAAAATAAGATCACAAACATACACAAAGCAATTGAAAATACAGTTTATTATTTAGACAAGATGCAGTGATTGTTTTGTAAAAGTTTCACTTCGAGAGATTTTACATATCTTACAGTAGTAACAGAATATTATATTGCAGGATTTTTCATGGGTTTTATTCTGACTCTCACAAGTTACGTTCATCTGGCTTGTCTGTTCTCATTCTTTGTTACATCTTCCAAGGCAACGAAGTTTCGTTCTCACAAGAAAAGAAAATTTGAAGCAGACTACAAGGAAGGTGGTCAAAGAAATTGGATTCAAGTTTTGTGCAATGGTGGTATGGCAACACAGTTGGCACTTTTGTACCTATTGGATATAGGTTGTGGAGAACACCCTGTTGATTTTGATAAGTATTATAGGAGTTCTTGGTTGTCGATTGGAATTTTAGGTGAGTTTACAGAAAAGAAGTTCACAATTTACATTAAATTTTTAACAATTGTCTGAATTTTCATTCTTTGCAATCGTTATGATGTAGGAGCATTTGCATGTTGTAATGGAGATACTTGGGCTTCAGAGATTGGAACAGTTATTGGTAGTAGTGATCCTTTCTTAGTTACTACAGGAAAAAGAGTACCAAGAGGTAAAGCTCCCTAAATTACAAAAATTCAGAGTTCCAAAGACTTGACTAAATTACTATATTTTCCTATGTTAACAGGAACAAACGGTGGTGTATCCTGGGTAGGTCTTTTGGTTTCCGCACTCGGTGGTTTGACAGTGGGTTTGTTTTATTACATTACCGTACTATATACTGTAGACTCGGCTGTGCTTCAATTAGCTGCACCACAATGGCCAGTTATACTTGTTGGATGTCTCGGAGGTCTCCTTGGCAGTATCATAGATTCTATTTTAGGGGCTACTTTACAATACTCAGGTAAAGTTTGCTTTATTATATCCGATAATGTACTGCATGCTGTAATATTATATCGATAATTTTGGTTTTTGCCGCAGGAATGAACGAAAACGGAGTAGTGGTGGAACGTCCTGGGAAACGAGTGAAATACATTTGCGGTAGACAAATTTTGGACAATCACAGTGTCAATCTTTTGTCAAGCGTCGCCATAGCAATTACCTTACCGAAAATCGCGAATTTAATTTGGCCTTAAAAGAATCTTACATGCTTTATTTTTTTGTTACTTTTTTTATATATTACAGTTTATAATTACGATCATAAAGTGGGGGTATATACTTTTCAGAAAATAAAATTTCAGTTTATATTTATTGGTGTTTTAAAACCGTCCACGTAGAATCACGTATTAATTAAGACTAAATAGAATAAGTTTAGTGATGATATTGTTAAAATGTTATTTTTGTTTATAACATTAATATATGAAATATATTATAAATTAAAGAATCTCCAGTTCTTTAAAAGTTCTTCATTTTTCAAACGGTAACAGCAATAAACCATTTTTGTTCAAATGTTAATCTATGGATGATGAAATGAATTTTATTAGTGATACAAATCAAAAGCCTTTATACATATATATGTACAGTTCTTTGTTTATTTAGCTGTATTCACAAACTTAAATAAATTTCCGTCACCTTTTCTACATAATTATTTTGTATAAAAATTACATGACACAATTGATATGACAAATCGCATTATTTGCTTTTTCTGTCGAATAAACGATGTGTTCCTTTAAAGCAATGCAGCTGTAATTTTATTTGAGCCAAGAAACAAGGAAACGTATTCAGGAAAATAATAAAGCAGATATGAGATGCCGTTGATTTCTTATTTTATAATTTTGATTTTCTTTCCACATCAGTGAAATGTAATACTTTTAAAAGAACACAATCCTAATGAACGATGGGATATGAGAAGCATACGCGCGAAAGCCATTTCAAAAATACATGTTAGTGAATAAAAGAACTATTGTAACATAAAACGATTCAATTATAATGAATTTACACACAATAGGGATTTTTATTCCCATTTTATATACTCTAACATGCGTTTTTGAAACACAGTATCTTATTCGATTTTTACATTATTGATATAATGGCCACTTGTACATAAATTAGCAGTCAATTAACAGTCAATTAGTTATCAAATTATTCCGAGGAAGTTGTGCGCGTTTGATGAAAAGTTTAATTTACAGGATACAATGTTAATCGATATAAGAATCAAATATATAAATGCGTTACTAAAAATGCATAATTAATATGATTTTCAGAATATCAAGTTAACTAAGCAAAGAACAATTAATTAAATTCTCCTCGTTTTTCGCAAATAAATTTTTTAAACATTGCAATAGATTTAATACAATGCTTTGCGATAAATTATTTGAAACTTATCCTTTTTAACATATGTACAATCTATATCTTGTCTCAAACTTGACCAACGATTACTAAATACATTATTCAACAATGTATTGCACATAGTTCGGTGACAATACTTTCTGCTTTCACCTATCGTTTCATTTTAACACAATCCAAAAATATCAATTATTTGAAAATTGAGTTTAAAAAGCAGTAATATTTTTTTGTTAGACGTCTTGTTTTCAAGATAATTGAGTTTGGAGATTCGTCAGATATTTCCCCCAGAGTATGTACGTATTCACAAAAAGTAGACTAGGCCATTCATGATCAGACACGCCAGCTAATCCTTATTCTATACCACGCGTACTCCTTGAATTATTATCAAACTCAATTTTCTCGAAAGCAACGCTTGGAACAAAAAAATGCTATTCTTTCCTCTCGACTTATTTTTCCATGTCGAATTATCCCTGTTCGATTGTACAATCTATCTGGCCCCATTCTATATAATTTTTATAAATATTCAACCCTTAAGTGGGCTCCCAAAATCAGCTCCATGGGAAATCAATTTTTCTAGAGATCAAACTTTATTCGAATACCGCAAATGATTGGTCAAATTTTGAATACATCAAATACTTATCAACGCAAGAATGTACACAGGACCATAATGGCTACCATAGACCACTTAAGGGTTAATATTCCTAAACGCTTCTACCACCCTTAAATCGCAATTATCCCAAAGCGAAAACAACGAACTTTCCACCTTGCAATTCTTCTACTTTTCACTTAACAAAATTCTCCACGGTCTTCGAAACGCTCCTCGTCCTTTCTACAAAGCCACCCGCCTATCCTATCCCGACAAGATAATCGATCATCCCCCGTTATAGAAAATCACAAATTGGAGCAACGCCTCCATTGATCATCTTAATCTTTAACAACGTCCCTTCAGGATCCTTTATTTAAAAAAAAGACCCGTCTCATCGTTCGTTTTTCTGTCGTTTTTCCCTGGGCTTATTTACACCGACGACGTCCAATCGTCGTCCCCCCGTGCTACGTTCCAACGGTCGGCAGGGTGATTGACATTATTGGTGGCGACCAGTTGCATGGTTTCGTGGTTGCCTGCGGGCTTCGTCTCCAGGTGTTGTGGCGCGGGCAACTGATAGTCACACTTGGTCCTCTCCCGGCATCGGACCTGCGTTCGATCGGATAAACTGAAACAGTCAACGTCCCACAATGGACTTTGACTCGGGCACGTTGTCATTGGCACGACACGGACAACTCTCTTCCTTTCTTTCTTTCTTTCTCTCTCTCCCTCTCGTTCGCTCTCTACCACAAGCTAAAATTGTTAGTTGCTCATTCACCAGTTCGTTATCGGTGCCGGTTTCGATCGAGGACGTGCTAGGAGTCGGGCCGACGTGTTAGTATCGGTTCACCCGGATTAGTTCAGTCCGCATCGCACCATTGACCATACGTGCAGTTCCTAATTGCTACCTTTGCTGGCACGCCGACTGTGCTGTCTCTTCGGGTGAAACCGCCGCTGAATGGACAGTACGTATGTACACAGGTGTTTGCAAATGTGCCGGGTTCGTTTCGCGTGCTACCACCGACTACACGCGGTTGCTACTAAAGCTGGGACTGACCTAGAGCCAGGACGACTGTAATTGGATCGACAAGAGAGGGCTCCGCCCTCTATTCAGCCTAATCAGCGATTTTGGTGGGCTGGACGCTCCTTCAACTCTGATCAAGGGATTCGATTATGCATCCGAACGGCCTTTGCTCGACTGACAACTCTGATTACGGGATTTGCCGGGGTTGATTGGCTTGCTTGCGAAAGGGGTTTGCGTAACCCCTCCTCGTTTTCGGTAGAGAATTCTTTTGACTTTCTTTTTCTGATTTTCTTTTTCTTTTTATCTTTGATCGTTGCTCGAAACCTCAGCATTATAAATCGAATTAATCCAGCCTTTCCAACGAACAAAGCTGAAGAAGGGTCCTCTCGACCGACAATCCGTACGATTTCTGAAACGAGTGTGTTCCATCGACCCAATCATAGTCGCGTTTGACGTGGAAAGAACTGAAAGATGAGAATGAGAGATGAAAAGGGGTTTGGGAACGATGGAAGCGCGGCGATTCGTTCGCATCGCAATTCAAGTGATCGCTCAAAGTCACTTTTTGCCACAATTTCCCGGCCGGCGAGTCGTAGACAGACGGCGAGATGGGATGATAGCCGAGTAAAATTGCGCGCGGTAAAAATTGTCGGCGGTTTTGAGCGATCAACTGAATTTTCACGCGACTGTACACTTTCGGCCGACTATTCCCGATGATGGTGATTCTCTCTTTCTGCGGTAAAGCGCGGAATCGCTCGGGAATATTTACGGAACTCGATCATCGTATCGGAACGCTCCATGCAAGCGCGGGGCACACATTTCTCGCGAAGCCATGCGGACATTCGTGATGGCCTGGTATTGTCTCCTGGGTTCGATCTCGCCGACACAAATCCGCGAGGCTCGGAAATATACGAGCAGAGGTAACGTGCACACGGCCGAGCGAAAGTATAATTAAAACGAAGAGCTACGCGCAAAAGCCAATCTCTATGATTTATTACGTTACAGGGCGCAGTCGTGTTTCATATTTTCGTTCATGATTTACAGTGTCCAGGTTGCCCGCGTTCTACCTTGCCCAACAATTCAAAGAATGCAAACGGACCACGTTCAACGATGCCTTGAACGTTAGCCGTGCCGGTCACGAGCCGAGAATCTGCGACCGTTCCGTTAACCTTTTAGGCACGACGCGCCACTATAGTAGCTCACTGGCTCATCGTTTGAACCAAATAATCGTCCTCATATGCATTGTTTCACACTTCTTTTGTCTTCGCATCGATTTCCGACAGTCTACAGGGTGTCCCAAAAATGTCTCGGAATCCGGAAATGGCGGGTTCCTCGGATCATTTGAAGCAGCTTCTTCCTTTACAAAAATTTTCTCCGAGGCACCGTTATCGAGTTATTATCGAAAGACAGTGACCAATGAGAGGCGAGCTCGGCTGGCGCGAGGCGATCGAGCCAATGAGCGGAACTAGGCCTGTCTCTTATACACATCTAGATGTGTATAAGAGACAGCAACAGTCTACAGGGTGTCCCAAAAATGTCTCGGAATCCGGAAATGGCGGGTTCCTCGGATCATTTGAAGCAGCTTCTTCCTTTACAAAAATTTTCTCCGAGGCACCGTTATCGAGTTATTATCGAAAGACAGTGACCAATGAGAGGCGAGCTCGGCTGGCGCGAGGCGATCGAGCCAATGAGCGGAACTAGGCCTGTCTCTTATACACATCTAGATGTGTATAAGAGACAGCAACAGTCTACAGGGTGTCCCAAAAATGTCTCGGAATCCGGAAATGGCGGGTTCCTCGGATCATTTGAAGCAGCTTCTTCCTTTACAAAAATTTTCTCCGAGGCACCGTTATCGAGTTATTATCGAAAGACAGTGACCAATGAGAGGCGAGCTCGGCTGGCGCGAGGCGATCGAGCCAATGAGCGGAACTAGGCCTGTCTCTTATACACATCTAGATGTGTATAAGAGACAGCAACAGTCTACAGGGTGTCCCAAAAATGTCTCGGAATCCGGAAATGGCGGGTTCCTCGGATCATTTGAAGCAGCTTCTTCCTTTACAAAAATTTTCTCCGAGGCACCGTTATCGAGTTATTATCGAAAGACAGTGACCAATGAGAGGCGAGCTCGGCTGGCGCGAGGCGATCGAGCCAATGAGCGGAACTAGGCCTGTCTCTTATACACATCTAGATGTGTATAAGAGACAGCAACAGTCTACAGGGTGTCCCAAAAATGTCTCGGAATCCGGAAATGGCGGGTTCCTCGGATCATTTGAAGCAGCTTCTTCCTTTACAAAAATTTTCTCCGAGGCACCGTTATCGAGTTATTATCGAAAGACAGTGACCAATGAGAGGCGAGCTCGGCTGGCGCGAGGCGATCGAGCCAATGAGCGGAACTAGGCCTGTCTCTTATACACATCTAGATGTGTATAAGAGACAGCAACAGTCTACAGGGTGTCCCAAAAATGTCTCGGAATCCGGAAATGGCGGGTTCCTCGGATCATTTGAAGCAGCTTCTTCCTTTACAAAAATTTTCTCCGAGGCACCGTTATCGAGTTATTATCGAAAGACAGTGACCAATGAGAGGCGAGCTCGGCTGGCGCGAGGCGATCGAGCCAATGAGCGGAACTAGGCCTGTCTCTTATACACATCTAGATGTGTATAAGAGACAGCAACAGTCTACAGGGTGTCCCAAAAATGTCTCGGAATCCGGAAATGGCGGGTTCCTCGGATCATTTGAAGCAGCTTCTTCCTTTACAAAAATTTTCTCCGAGGCACCGTTATCGAGTTATTATCGAAAGACAGTGACCAATGAGAGGCGAGCTCGGCTGGCGCGAGGCGATCGAGCCAATGAGCGGAACTAGGCCTGTCTCTTATACACATCTAGATGTGTATAAGAGACAGCAACAGTCTACAGGGTGTCCCAAAAATGTCTCGGAATCCGGAAATGGCGGGTTCCTCGGATCATTTGAAGCAGCTTCTTCCTTTACAAAAATTTTCTCCGAGGCACCGTTATCGAGTTATTATCGAAAGACAGTGACCAATGAGAGGCGAGCTCGGCTGGCGCGAGGCGATCGAGCCAATGAGCGGAACTAGGCCTGTCTCTTATACACATCTAGATGTGTATAAGAGACAGCAACAGTCTACAGGGTGTCCCAAAAATGTCTCGGAATCCGGAAATGGCGGGTTCCTCGGATCATTTGAAGCAGCTTCTTCCTTTACAAAAATTTTCTCCGAGGCACCGTTATCGAGTTATTATCGAAAGACAGTGACCAATGAGAGGCGAGCTCGGCTGGCGCGAGGCGATCGAGCCAATGAGCGGAACTAGGCCTGTCTCTTATACACATCTAGATGTGTATAAGAGACAGGTACAGTACACATCAGACTCTGCCGTCCAGAGAAATAGCCTCGCGCAGAATTCAGCCGTACCTAAAAGGTTAAGAAGGGTGCCGCAAGATTCTCGTGATATCAACGCTTACAGCTAAAACAAGTCACGATAAAATGTTCGAAGCTCAACGAAGTCTGCCTATACGAGTGTCTAATGAACGCGTGCATATACACGTCGACGAAGGAGAAATGAAACGGAAACGAGAAAGGATTCGAACGGATAGAGTAATTTCGTAATTTTCGTGGCACGGATCGACGCAATACGTGCATCGATCGCGAGGACAAAGCTGTGTGTTGTAGCAACATGAAATGTTGATGATACACGGACGACACAGATGTGAAGCGAATGGAAGAACGTATGGAACGTGCAGGTGATCGTCGTTGGGATGCTTTCATTTCTAGGGGGACACCGTGAATGCTCTTATGTCTTGTGAATTTGTCGTACCGAGACGGTCGTGGCCGTGCAAGAGTTGGCCCGATTTCGCAGAAGAGCGGTGCACTCCCATTTCCTCTTGAACTGCGCTATCACCTGCAGAGCACGAACGACGTTTTTATTAATGAGATTATCTGTAGCCCGCGATTCGGTTAATTAGATATGAACCGCGCAACCGCTCGGATTCGTTGACACACCTCACCGTTCAGGAAACAGAACAACACGGCAACGCAGAGGCCCTGTGGAAACAAACTGTCTTAGAATCATACAAAAATCGTCGTCGAATAGTTGACGATTAGACTGCGGATCTTTGTGCAATATAGACATCTTCTTTGCATCCGGTGAGAGGAACAGAAATTATCTTGGAATTTCTTTCTTTAATATGTTTAGCCTAATGGCAGCAATATGTTGACAGATCACAATTTTTTGGATGTTTTTGGCGTTTCAAATTGCAACTGCTCATTGTTGTCACAAATGCGTAAAATCCGCAGTATAAATATTATAGTATAATATTTTTGTTACAGCAAACAGGATCGTTCAAATTTTATCTCGAAATACAGTTAATTCTCCCTAATTGAAACTATTCTTCCTTGGAAACAAAAATGGACGATTTGGGAAGAGAAGGTGCGATTATTCGAACCTTGCGGCTCGTTTTCATAGTTGCTAACTAATCGGTAACTATATAATAATCGTGTCTCCTCTTCTCTAATTCATTCATTTTTGTGTACAAGCTGAGAGTCGATTAGGGAGAATTTACTGCAATTGGAATTCGTTTTGAATTATATTTCTCGTTGCTTCGATGATCATTTCAGATTCTACCTTTCGCTGTTTCAATACTCATTTCAGATTCTACCGTTTAACAGCGTATTCGTGTCCGGTAGAAGTAATTTTGATGAAAGTGTTGCGCTCACCTGGAACGAGGCCGTGACTGCAGAGAGAACCTCATAAATCGGCTCCCACGGATGACCCTTTGGCGGTCTGAAGGGGATGGCCAAATAGTGCAAACCCAAAAGCGGCACCAGTAGCATCGTCGCCCTGGAAAAGAATGGAGCCATTCAACCGAGAGAGTATAATAGCGTGTTTCGAATTGGCAAATATTCGAAACCGGTTACAACGGCGAAATTAGCTTCCTTCGAGATCAAAATTCCGAGAAATAATTTTATTTAATCTCCATTAGACAAATAGGGATGCAATTTTTTGTATAAAAATCCATATTCATATATGCAAAATAATATACAACGAAATGTCCATGTATTAGAGTCCAAATGTCCATGCTCGTCAGAGTTTTTTTTACGCTGTTTCGAATTGGCAAATATTCGAAACCGGTTACAACGGCGAAATTAGCTTCCTTCGAGATCAAAATTCCGAGAAATAATTTTATTTAATCTCCATTGGACAAATAGCGATGCAATTTTCTGTATAAAAATCCATATTCATATGTGCAAAATAATATACAACGAAATGTCCATGCATTAGAGTCCAAATGTCCATGCTCGTCAAATTTACGAATATTCTTATTTTATTTATTTCATTACACTTATTGCGAGCGTTACAAAATAATCGACTAAAAATGGGAATTTGTTATCACGCTTACTTGGCTGCCTGCCTCATGGACCTCGATGGCTGCGTGCCGATTGTTGGCCCCGCTCTGAGCTTCATCAGAAGGACCCGCACTATGTTGAAGAGGAACAGGAAGTTCAGACCGGTGGACACGCAGACTGGGTAGACCAGCACAATCATGTAGTTGCCCTCGTCGATCCAGCACCTGCGATCATTATCGATGCATGGAATAAGTTCGAGCAGTGACTGTGCAACGACGCAAACGAGGAACTTTGTGTGTGTGGAACTTCGAACCGCCGTTTGAAAACACTTCAGAGCTTTTGAAAAGACTCGAGCTTCGCCCCCGTGCAACAAACGTGGCACAGATTCAAATTCAGGGGTGGAGGGCTGCGTACACGCTTTCGCATCAACGCAGTCCTTTCGGCGGAGAACAGCGGCGAGGTTTGCGTAGCTGTTACGTACTTTTTTAAATCGAATAATCCTTTTGTTTTTTTTTACCGTAATATCGTCGTAATCGAATTTGATCGCGAGTACCATCCGTTTATTGCATTAAGTTCTCTCCAGGCAAATCGTATTTAGACCCTTCGACGCTAGAACTACCGAGCCCTAAACGTGATTAATGCGCATTGTTTCATAACAATGACAAGATCGGATCGATTTAAGCTCCCTACGATTTTTATTGCATTAGTACGGGTCGTAAATAACCTCCGATGCAGCTAGGTAGAATCCATTGTTTGTATCTACCCGGTATGAGCCATCGGGCGAGTTTTTGCCGCCACTAAACAGATAAGGGTTCGGAATATAAACGAAACAAGGAAACGAAATAAAAATGAAACGGAAAACAAAATAAATGTCTGATAAAAACACGGATGTTATTTATGACTCGACCTTAAAAAGTATGCTCGAACGTAGGATTTCGTGTAAAAATTTCTGACAGAGACATTTGTACACGAATTGTGAGAGAAATATGTAATTCCAGCGATTTCGACTGATTTGGTAATTCTAGTGTTAGAAAGAAACATTTCGGTCGAAAAATGGACAATTTGGGAAGAGGAGATGCGACTGTTCGAGCCTTGCCGGGCTCGTTATTATAGTCGCCGATAATTATAAATTATAAAATTATAAAAATAAATATTATATATCAATTATATATATTATTATTATTATTATATTATATTATATATATAATATAAATTATTATAAATATATTATAAATTATATATATAATAATAATATATATATTATATTATTATTATTATTATTATTATATTATATATATATATATATGTGGCGGCTACCCGCTAGTAACCAATCCGCTTCAATTCCTATATATGTATAGCTAGCCTTACTGAGATGAGTCCTCTAGTCCGGACGAAACGTCATCCCCTCTCCTTCTCACCTTAACATCGTTACTTTCAACAACCGCCAAATATATTATATATAAATATAAATATTATGAAATTATAATAATAAAATTTAAAAAATTATAAAATTTTATAATTATAAAATGATAAAAACGAGGTGCAAAGCACGCGAATGATCGTATCCTCTCTTCCCAAATTGTCCATTTTTGTGCGGAATCTGAGCGCGAATTAGGGCAAAAATAACTGTACTTTCAAAAATATCCAACACACCGTTTCCCGCGATCGCATTCAAGCTATCACCCGGCATCCCCCGGTTAACCCCGTCAAAATCGAAAACGGATCTCGCTGTGGTCCCGAATTCAATTAATCGGCGAACGGATCACGATCGGCCTAAAATCCAGTTAAATTAATTAATCCAGCCCGGGCCGATAATCCCCGAAAAATGGAAATTACGTCGCCAATAGCGTCGGCGGATCAATTAATTTCGGCAAAGGTCATTCGGACGTTCATTAATTCAGCACCCCTTTGTTCGTCACGGATTTCGGAGCTGTCATCGGGGCCAAGCGACGATAAACCAATTGCCTCGGTTTTGATCCTCTGTTTCGCAGTGCACGTGCCGCATCCACGGGGTGACTCTCGCTCATGCACCGGGTGGGATCCTCGCGTTCGACTTCGGAAAGTCCTCCGCCGATCTCCGTTGCAGCCCCGTGCATAGGAAATCAACGGGACAATCTCAACACCGCGCATCACTGATAAACCGTCATGGTGTTGCGGTTCTCTCGGGATTCCGTGAGCGGCTTTGGAATTAATGCATCGGGACGCCGATTTTCGTAGCAACGAGAATCCATGAGCCCTCCGGACCGGCACTTCCGCCGGAAGTTGCCGGGATAATCTTCCTCTCGGTCATGTGCCGGCTCGAAAGTGATGGTAAACTGGTTTCATCAGATAAACGATAGCGAGATTTGCATAGCCGCGTAAATAAATTGATAAATAAGTCAACAGAGAGAGAGAGAGAGAGAGAGAGAGAGAGAGAGAGAGAGAGAGAGAGAGAGAGAGAGAGAGAGNGAGAGAGAGAGAGAGAGAGAGAGAGAGAGAGAGAGAGAGAGAGAGAGAGGGGGCGGAATTATCTACCCCGTTGACCAAAGAATTTTGCCGAGCCTGCGTCACGAACCTCGTATTCTTTGTTTAAAACAACTGTATTTGTTGACACGTTTGTGTAAAATATAAACCATCGAAAATATCCATTGGGCACTCACCATTTTAAATAAAATATTAAATGTAGCATATCAAATATTCTATATATGAGTCGTTTATTTTGAAAGTGGCGTGAAGTCACTTTACCGTAATGAAAAGCGGTGATTTTTTAATGTTTATACGAAATTATTTATACTGAGAAAAATATCAGTATCCTGAGATAACGAATACAAGTGAATCTTCTCGAAAGTTAGCATCCATATTTTGAAACGTGTTAAAACGCAAACCCTTAAATATATCGACTTAAAAACAAAGTGACTTATGCCACTTTCAAAATAAACGGCTCATATAGTGTCTGTACTTTTTATGTGTTTAGTAATTATTATCAACGTCTGAAAACGATCCTATAATTCATAGATATCTATTTCTCGCCGTATTGCACGGGATATTGTTTCGTTCGTCACAGAGACGCGCATTTTTCTTTTCTGGGCGGACGTTTGGTATTGACGGGCGTCGTCTATTATTTTTTCATTAAATCCGTCTGAATATATAGGACGGAGTATTTTCTGCACTCTGTGCTTATTCCATTTGTTTCACCTCTGTCGGTGTGCTGGCGGCAGCGTGTTTATATCGAGTGGACCGGCTGCTATCAATCTTATCGTATTTCTGTCCTCGTCGGGAAGCATATTTCTGTTTCCCCGTTTTTAATCGAGCCCAATAACTCTCGAAAATCCGGTCGCTAAATTATTTTTATCATTCCGTTGGTTTAACAATGTCGAGACGATAAATTCTAGTGATTCAGTGTGACGTTGGCATTTAATGATATTTGAGAATCGATCGAGGTTCTCTGACAAAGAAACCCATTATTATATCAAAATTAATATTTCTTGTCGCATAATACTTCAAATGATTGTGATGCTTTTTTCTAGTTCAATTATGAAAATTCAAAAGATTTTTTATATGGAAAATTGGCTGAATTTTAGTAATAGAGGGACTAAACGAATATATTGAGGGTACAGAAATGTTCAGCGGAATTTTCTACATCTATATCATGCGAAAAAAGTTTATTTGTTATTATAAATAAAGAGGACAAATGATTCTTGCCACTTCTGTCATAAGATATCGTGTAAAATCCGGCACGAATCATCTGCTGCTGAAACTAAAAAAATAGCGCCACTGGGCGTAGTGACAAAACGCTCAAACTGGTAGACAAACTTATCAACAGAGTAAATAAACGTCCGGAAATGCACGGTAGCGCCATCTACTTTTTCGAAAAAGTAACAGCAGTCGATAATTCGTCGACCAGTTTCAGCGTTTTGCCGCTGCGTTCAGTGGCGCTATTTTCACATTTCTATGGGTTTTGCCCAGTTTCGCCATCTACGATAGGAACCTGAACCGTCCGAGTTACCATTCGCGATAAATTTCGGCGATCAGTTTGGGCGTTTTGTCACTACGCCAAGTGGCGCTATTTTTATGTTTTCAGGAACAGATGATTCGTGCCGGATTTTACACGATACCTTATGGCAAAAGCGGCAAGAATCATCCGTGCACGATATTTAGAATAGTAAATAAACTTTTGTCGGTCGAAATCGATGCAGAAAAATCTTCTCAACATTTCTGTATCCTCGAAGTATGCTTTGAATGCGTTATTTTAATATAAATGCGTTATTTTATTTTAACCATAAATAAACATAATTATGACAATTTTTATAGAATCGATGCGCATCGCTATGAACATTTGAGATCAACGCTATCAATTTAGATGCCATTAGTTGCCAAAGTATTTAGATCTTTTCAGGAATAAAGTGCGGCCATTTCGGTGCTCTCAGAACGTTCTTCGAGCGATAAAGTTTCCCGATAAATGAGATTCAAATATGTATATACTTCGGTCTCGGACGGGGGACTTACGTTGAATTTTTAAGAGCGTATGCAAATGCAAGGTGCACACCGGTTCGGTGGTCTTGGTACGCTCAGCTCACGCATGAATTTAAATGCCCCGTTCTCATCTAAGCGATCGTGACTTCGAAGTGGGAAACGAGAGAGAAAGACTCGGGCGTCGACGTAATTGAAAATCGTTCCATAGCCGGATTTTCAAATTTCAAACGTCGGCGGCGTTGCTTGCAAAACAACGATGCTACCATTTTTATTACGTCCGTTCGATTCTGCCTGTAAAATTGATGAAATGCTTCCTATATTCGTAGTCGATTTTGCTTCACAATTCTCCGCAGTCGGTTCGTTCTATCGAGTTCGATACATAGGCACGGATAATCGAGCCGTTTTTACAAAAGCTTTTCCCCTCCCTTTGATTCGATTTTTTGTTTCGATGCAAGGATAACAAGATTATAAAAAAAAAGAAAAAAGAACTAAAGCGATTCAAATAATTCTTTGTACACTCTCTACGCGATTTCAACCCCTCGTACCATTTTCTTCACAGTTACGACGACTGGAAAGAAGCTTTTCGATTATAATAATTTCTTAGTGGAAGAAAATTTGTATTTATCGCGTGCCAACGTCTCCTTGAAAACTTAAATATTGCGGCGAAAAGAATAGAATTTTATTATTCAGGGTGTCCCGAAAATGTCTCGCAATCCGGAAACGGGAGATTGCTGAGGTGATTTGACGCAACTTTTTCCTTTGCGAAAATGTTCTCCGAGGCTTCGTTTACGAGTTATTAACGGAAAACACTGACCAATAAGAGGCGAGCTCGGCTGGCGCGCGGCGGCCCAGCCAACGAGCGCGCGCAGCCCGGTTCCGCTCATTGGCTGGGCCATCTCGCGCCAAATGATCTCGCCTCTGATTGGTCACTGTTTTTCGTTAATAACTCGTAAACGAAGCCGCGGATCGCATTTTTGCTAAGGAAAAAGTTGCTCCAAATCACCTCAGGAATCCCCTACTTTCGGATTGCGAGACATTTTTGGGACACCCTGTATAAATGATACATAACATAATAATATAATTTGTTATATCAAAGAATGGAATAACATTCACGGTTAACGGGCGCTCGCTAGAAATCTCCATTACGAGTTAGGCTCGTTAAGACACGCGAAGGGAGATAACGTGGTCCACGGTTACTTACTGCTCGGTGTCCGCAGGATCGTTGCTGAAGAACCTCAGACAAGCGTAAATTGTGATGATGACCGCGGGCACCGACCATCCCAGCCCCATCAGCCACTTCACCAGCTTATGCTCGCTGGTGAACGCGCTGACGAGCAACGTGTGAAGGTAGAAACCCTCGCACAACATCCAGGCGTAATTGGTGACCAGAAAGTAGTGCAGGACGGTGTGCAAGAGCCGGCAGGTTATCTGTAACAAACGTAAATATTAAATTCGCCTCTAAACCGGCCCCCGGTTCGAAGCGGCCGCCGCAACGGGGCCCGGCCAATCTTCATGCAAATTTCTATTCCCATAATGAACGCCGCGAAAACGAGTACTTCGGGCGGAATTTCTTTCGACGACTAAAGCACCTCATGGGACGGCAGCCGAAGAAAAGTATTATTACTTCTATTAATACGTACGGCACGGGGTGTTTTAGAAATTTGCATGTACCGCGCGGAGCTACAGTTCTATAATTACGCGGGAAGACCTGGGGAAATACGGCCTCTTTAACGCTGAGCGCATATGGATTCGCTTGGTTAAACGTTAATTTGTTAATTCTAAAAATATTTGTCAAGATAAAGGTGGACTCGGGACTCTATTAAAATGGTTAAAAGTAATCAATTATTTTTTTGTAACGAAGAAATTATTTTTTTATATGGTGAAGAAATCTCGAAGAAGAATATAGAAAATGTTAGAATACAGAAAATTGTTTTGTTATTAAAATTGTAAATTCCTTAAATCCCGAAGAAGAGAATATAGAAAATTGTTTTGTTATTAAAATTGTAAATTCCTTAAATTTATTATTAAATTTAATATTAATAAATTTAAGGAATTCACAATTTTTTACAAGGAATTTACATAATCTTAAACTTATTAATATATTGAATTTATTAATAAATTTAAGGAATTTTAAATTTTTACAAGGAATTTACATAACCTTAAACTTATTAATATTGAATTTATTAATAAATGTAAGGAATTTACAATTTTTGCAAGGAATTTACATAATCTTAAACTTATTAATATATTGAATTTATTAATAAATTTAAGGAATTTACAATTTTTGCAAGGAATTTACATAACCTTAAACTTATTAATATTGAATTTATATTAATAAATTTAAGGAATTTACAATTTTTATTACAAGGAATTTACATAACCTTAAACTTATTAATATTGAATTTATTAATAAATTTAAGGAATTTACAATTTTTGCAAGGACTTTACATAACCTCAAACTTATTAATACTGAATTTATTAATAAATTAAAAAAATTTGCAATTTAAATAACAAAACAATTTTCTATCGGTTTTATAAATCAATCTAACTTTCTATAAATATCCTAATACTCTTAAAAAGGGGGGGGTGCAGGGTGTAAGTGTACATTTTTACAGCGAGCAATCTACTTATTTTATTTCCAGATTAACGAACGAACGAAACACCTATTATTCGGTTTATTCAGAAATTCTGTAAACAAAGGCAACGAATCGAATGTATTTCGCGTAAATGGATATTAGCCTCCGCGAATGGGGTCCCAGAAGAAAAGAACCGTGAGGAAGATAAATGGCGGAGAAAGAGACGCGCGCGACTAGACCCGCGAGCGTTCATACGAATATCAAATTTATCGACCGGGATACCGAAACTCGAACAAAAACCGCATTCCGTACGGCATAAAGGCATCGCCGCGCGTTATTAATCTTTTCCCGCCGCGGTGAATATTGAACAACGGGCCGGAACGAGTGCAGAAAATCCGCGGGTATTTGGCGATATCTCGAAGGGGTATTACTTTGGCAAGACACTGTGGGGATCGTTTAACATGACAATGACGTCACGACAACAATGACAATAACGTTCCACGTACCCCATTGTTTAACAGTAGATCCGTGTTCGCGACGATGCAGCCGTACCACACGAGCCATAGGGTGTTGTTCAGGGCGAACGAGGTGAACAGGTTCATATGGAGAGTGATCCTCGCGCACCTCAGAGATCTGTATTCATCGGGGAACAACAACAACAACAACAACAAAATAGAAAAATACACTACAATAGCGGAAACCATTTTCCGGGATTGCCGGATAGATTTGTACAGCGCGCGAGTCGAATCCGATGCATTTATTCGAGCGAAGGGCGTATACACGATTTTCGGAAACAAAGAATGCATCGGATCGCACATTTTTACGTCGTTCTTCCTTTTTTTTCCGAGCAAATATTAATATTGTTTCGCGTCGGCGCCGCGTCGTGGAAATAATTCGGTAATTTTGTCACGAATAGGCTGCGGATCTTTTATGCATCTCGTGCGAATTTATCAGTTGTAATATATGAGCCGTTTATTTTGAAAGTGGCGTAAGTCACTTTACCGTGATGAAAAGCGGTGATTTTTTAATGTTTATACGGAATTATTTGTACTGAGGAAAATATCAGAATCCTGAGATAACGAATACAAGTAAATCTTCTCGGAGGTTAGCATCCATATTTTTAAACGTGTTAAAACGCAAACCCTTNTAAATATATAAATATATAAATATATAAATATATAAATATATAAATATATAAATATATAAATATATAAATATATAAATATATAAATATATAAATATATAAATATATAAATATATAAATATATAAATATATAAATATATAAATATATAAATATATAAATATATAAATATATAAATATATAAATATATAAATATATAAATATATAAATATATAAATATGTAAATATATATATATTTCAAAATATAAACGGCTCATATCGTTGTAGAATTATATTTACATTATCAGATTTGTTTATATAACGAAACGGTCATTTAAAATGGAAGTATCATGAACCAAAAAAACGATTTTGGATTTCTAGTTGAAATGGCTTCGACTGCAAAGAGTTGAATAGCATCTTCGCCTTTTTCTTAAAAATCAGTGATCTTTTACTCGTCGTAGGAAACAATTTTGTAACTCTAATTTTTCTAAAATGACGTACCGGAACGATAATTTGCATAAATAAAGATCCACAGTCTAGTCGTAAGTATAGAAATTGTTGAAAAATATTCGAACCGTATCATTCCAGACGCGCGATGTGAGAAAAAAATATTTTGTACGTCTTTGAAATCAGAGCACCGAAGAGCAGCTTTTATTTTAGTAAATATATATTATTCTTTAGAAGCATATTACAAACGAAGCTGCAGCATTTTCGAATTCTCGGTGTTATCGTGTTTCGATGGAGACATCGTTCGAGATTATTTTGAGAATTTGGTGACTCGTTCGTATCGCGTTGGCATTGTGTAATAAATAGCGGTCTAATAATGCTCGATTTCGTCGTCTGACGACGGTAGAAATTACGATCGACTCACCTGAAATACGTGAGAATACCCAGCGAGAGCAGCAAAGCTATGAGCGATATAGCGTACCCGGCTTCGTAAATTCTATTAATCCCCTGCTGCCACTGGAATCAAAATTAATTGCAATATTATAGGATTATACAAGCTCGCGAGAACGAGCTCCGAACGAGCATCAGTCGTATTCCGCGAACACGCTGATACGTCTGAGAAAATGCACATCGTTTTTCCAACTGCAGTTCGCTCCTTATTATCGCTTTTATTTTTCGGAAGTAGAGCGCAAATTACTTTATATAAATTTGAATAAACTTTCCACATTTTACTTGATCTGTGCACGGTATTACAGTAATACCGTACTTTTTAATTGAAGTTTTAATACTATTTTTAACTTGTATAAAGAATTGTTAGATTTTCATCCACGGCAATTACTACAATTAATCTAAGCTATATAAAACTGTTAAATGAAATTTTAATACTGCTTTTAACTTGTACAAAGACTTGTTAGATTTTCATCCACGACAATTACTATAATTAATCTAAGCTATATAAAACTGCTAAATGAAATTTTAATACTGTTTTTAACTTGTATAAAGAATTGTTAGATTTTCATCCACGGCAATTACTACAATTAATCTAAGCTATATAAAACTGTTAAATGAAATTTTAATACTGCTTTTAACTTGTACAAAGACTTGTTAGATTTTCATCCACGACAATTACTATAATTAATCTAAGCTATATAAAACTGCTAAATGAAATTTTAATACTGTTTTTAACTTGTATAAAGAATTGTTAGATTTTCATCCACGACAATTACTATGATTAATCTAAGCTATATAAAACTGCTAAATGAAATTTTAATACTGCTTTTAACTTGTACAAAGACTTGTTAGTTTTTCATCCAGGACAATTACTATAATTAATTTAAACTGTGAAATATTTTAAATCGCAATATATTCATCGTTCTTCTAAAAAATCGTTGGAGCACAGCTATCTCCAATTTTTTAATCTCGTCGAACTCGCGAATAACAGAATGCTGAAGGCACCCCTATTCCTCTGTCACATTTCGAAAAGGGAAGTTTGATTTCATTCCTTTCCTCGCACCCCTTCAATGAGCGTAAAATTGCAGTACACAAATGTGAAAATACGGGGCTGTAAAATTTGTTTTATTGAAAGGCGTACCGAAAGCTAAGGGTTATCCAAGCTCCTTTACGGGATCATATACTTTTCGTTCTTATACCCTCATAAAGTGAACGCCTTCTGCATGCATCCACTAAATTGGCCTATCTTATGCGTTTCCTTTATTCCCTTATACGAGTTTTTCAATCTTGACTCGAACGTTTCGGCCCCGTTATCTTGTTGAACATTTTCGAGGAGATTGTGTCTCAAGCGTGATGCACAAGATGCACAAGTAGCTTAAAATAAGGTGTAGTCGTACTTTGAAATAGTAAAGTGCGCAAGTAATTAAAAATAAAATGCACGAATAATTTGAAAATAAGGTGCACAAATAATTTTAAAATAAAGTATACAAATACTTAAAAAAATAATATAATACACAAATAATATAAAAATAAAGTATATAAATACTTTAAAGATAAAGTACAAAAATAATTAAAAAATGAACTAAACAAATAATTCAAAAATAAAGTATACAAATAATTTAAAAATAAAGAACACAAATAATATCAAAATAAAGTATAGAAATAATTTAAAAATAAAGTATACAAATACTAATATAAGATAATGTGCAGAGAAATAATTTAAAAATGAACTAAACAAATAATTCAAAAATAAAGTATACAAATAATTTAAAAATAAAGAACACAAATAATATCAAAATAAAGTACAGAAATAATTTAAAAATAAAGTATACAAATACTAATATAAGATAAAGTACAGAAATAATTTAAAAATCAACTAAACAAATAATATCAGAATAAAGTATAAAAATAATATAAACATAAAGTGTGCAAACAATTTGAAAATAAAGTACACAAATAATTTAAAAATAAAGTGTACAAGCAGTTTCAAATAAAGTACGCAAGTAATTAGAAATAAAAATAATTTCTTAAGAAGCATGCGGCGAAGAGACTCAAAAAAATAGCTGACTTATACAAAGTGAAGCAATATAACAATGTAACAGGAAGAATAAGGCGGAGTAATAAATCTTGAATCTTCCACGTTCCGCCAAACGGCAAACATGGTCCGCGAATAAATTAAAAGTATACTTCCCCTCGACTTAGGTCCTAAGTCCCGGCATGATACGAAGAAGGAAAATAATGACAGAGCAAATAAGTGAAGTTTTAGTGCGGAAGTTTGTTTCAGGAGTCGCGCAAAAAGGAACTTCGCCACGGGTCAGTGCTGATCCAGCTTCCATTCTACTCTTCCAAACTTTTTGACCTTTGTCGTGCCACGTATTGTCCCTACGATTTTAATTGAAAATCGTGACACGTTCAAAAATGCAGAACAGTACGATCGAAGTATTCAATTCCGACTGTTCGAAGTTATTTTGCTACGATTCGTAATATCTTCGAAACCATATTCCGGACTTTCGGACTAATTCCCCGTGTAACGGCAACGTGCAAAACGGGGCTCGACTATATTAAGAATTTCTGAATGCTACGAAAAATCCTCGGAGATGCTGTGTACCGTGCATATACGGCGCAGCCGGCTGGTGAATAATGCATAAACTCTGCACAAGCATTATGTAATCCTCGGATATCGAAAGTTGTGCGTACGTACAATCCCGGCGGCCGTCGACAGACAGCAACAAAGTACCATGTTACCGTAGCTTAAACGGCTGCTATTCATTGCGCTCCGTGAACCTAAGCTCTACTTGTTCCTTTTAATCCTGTGCTTTCGCAAAGCGTTAAATTAGAAACGCAACGGAAGAATGAATGGCTATTAGACGTGCCTCGGTTATTTATACGTTCGCGGGCTCGCAGTTGCACGCATTGTTCTACAGGGTGTCTCATAATTATAGCAAAGGAATTATTCCTGGAAAGGGGTGATTGCTGAGGCCATTTGAAGTAACTTTTTCCTTAGCGAAAATGCGATCCGCGGCTTCGTTTACGAGTTATTAAGGAAAAACGGTGACCAATGAGAGGCGAGCTAAGCTAGCGTGACGCGACCGAGCCAATCAGCGGGACTGGGCTTCGACCGCTGATTGGCTCGACCGCCTAGCGCGAGGCGAGCTCTCATTGGTCACTGTTTTCCCTTAATAACTCGTAAACGAAGCCGCGGATCGCATTTTCGCTAAGGAAAAAGTTGCTTCAAATTACCTCAGGAATTATACTTTCTCAAGTATTAACATAATTATGGGTCAGCCTCTACCATAACTATTATTTCGTATGCAAACATAATTTCGTATGCACTCGTAATTTCGTATGCATTCGTAATTTCGTATTTAATCATAATTTCGTATGCATTCGTAATTTCGTATGCACTTTTAATTTCGTAATGTAACTCTTAATTCCGTAATACGCTCGTAATTTCCGTGTGCACTCATAATCTCATACGCGATCACAGTTTCGTAAGCAACGATCATTTTCGTGCGAAGTTCGTGCGATAAGTTGCGAGTGAATCTTTAAAAAACGAGCTAGGCAAATCCAGCCGACGTTCAAATCATTTGACGTTAATGCCGTTATCGTTGTATTTACAGTGCGCAAACATCTTCGGAGATTTGTGCGAACGCAAATTCAATTGATCACGCACGATTTTGTTTCGTGCAAAGCATTGAATAAATGCGGAAAGCATTCACCCATTAAATTGCATCATCTTACGCGTTCCCTTTATTTCTGCACGTGTGCATGCATTTTTCATTTCGATTCGCACGGTCGTGCACCGCTTTATCCGTTTTTCTCTTTTCCTATTGAACGAAACCATTGTTCCAGAAGTGATTCGAATTATACATAATATAACCTCTGTGAAAATACTTGAAAATGCGCGATATTAATAATAACTGAGAAATACTTGAAAATACTTGACAATATGTAATTCTATAATATAATAATGTCACTAAAAATAACTGAAAATAACTAAAAAAAATGCTAATGAGTACGTCTTTAAAAATACTTAAAGAAAACAACAACATCTATAAAACTACTTAAATATAATTTGATAACAAAAGCAGTGTCTCAAAAAAATATTTGAAAATATATAATACAAATAATAATGTCTCTAGAAATATTAAAAAATATATAGTACTAATAATAACATCTGTGAAAACATTTAAAAATATATTATACTAACAATAACATCTCTAAAAATATTTAAAAATATATGTAATACTAATAATAACATCTCTAAAGACACTGGAAAATATACGGCACTAATAAAGCGTTTATAAATATACCTAAGTACATTTAATACAAATAGCAACGTCTCTAAAAATTCTTGGAAAAATATAATAACAATAATAATAACGCTTCTAAAACTATTAACAAATATGTAATACTAATAACATCTCTAAAAATGCCTAAAAACACGTAATACTAATGTTATCTCTAAAAAACAGTCAAAAATACATAATTCCAACACAATAACGTTTTTAAAAACTGTTAAAACTGGATTACACGCGTGGCGGAAGCGAAAGTTCGTACAAAAGGTCGACTATAAGGGAAGAGATTTAAAATCCCGAAAACTGCCGGATTCGGCTGAAAAGTCCGAGCGGGCGGGCTCGAAATTTTTGCGGGACCCCGGGAAATTTGCATAAAGTCACAGTATCCAGTTATGAGTTGGCCAGTTGTCGAGGACGGTTACAATTGCACGGCTTACCACCGGTGAATTTACGAGGACCGTGTAAGGGTTAAACATGATCCGCGTCGGCGCACGGCCAAAAAACGATAATGTTCCGGCGAACTATTCTCGCCGTTGTCCGGAACAATGTTACGATTCGGAATTGTTCCCGGTTCGAATTCGCGTGCTACCGTCGTCAAAAACGGCCGGGAACAGTCGCGGGGACAATGGTGAAGTTCGATTATCGTGTAATGGGACGCAAGAGGCTGCACAACGCGCGGACAATCGTATTAATGCCGACCGGATGTTGGACCGCGGTCGCGGCCACTAGTTAGATGAACTTCGTGTTAACTTCCGCGGCGTCTAATTA